AGTTCTCTAAGAAAAAAAAATTCAGAATAATTCCGATTATAATCAGATTCCGATAAAATCGAGACTAAATATTTAGTGCCTTCCTTCATGAAAACGTTTCCAAAAGCAAACATTTCAAAAATACAACACTTTCTAATGATAAATATACAAATTATTATCGTGACCAGTCATATGAATCACATGGATTCTTCAAGGAAACTTTAGTTGCTGGACGTTGCAATGCGTCCAGATCTATTGGAACTGAATAAAAACTGAGATCGGGAGAAAACCCGCATTTTCTTGTGTTATCATAAAAGATTGTTCGAAAGAATAAATGAAGTTAATTTTTTTTAAAATAAATTTTCCTCCATCATGTATTTCACCTGCGAAACTCAGTTCGGAGTCAATAGGGAGCAACTGCGACGGGAATACAAGCCTTCGCATCTCACAGCGGTCCAAAAACTACATCACTCTTTTCTTTAAATAGCTGCTTTTTGGAAGTTTTTTGGAATTTTTAGTCCATCGTACAGAGGGAGGATCGCCCCTTGCAGAATTCGCTAGTGCTGGTCACGATAGTAATTTTTTTATATATGAACAGAAAATTCGTCTATGTTCATCCTCATTTTCCCTAATTTTCTCTTTTCATTAAACAGCGGCTTAAAATATTAGTTTTCGAAAGGAAGGTCCTTCGGAGGATATTTGGCCCAGTTAAGGAGAATGACGAACGGAGAATTAGACGCAATAAAGAACTAGCTAACTTTATTTAGCTAACGTTATACAAAGAGCCGGATGTGGTGAAATATATACGGTTAGCAAGGTTGAGATGGGAGGGCCAAGTTGTATGGATGGACGAGACCTCAATCCCAAAGAAGCTGCTGAGCATGGAGTCGAGTGGAAAAAGAAAAGTGGACCGAAACTGAGATGGAAAATGGAGTATGTTCTGATACCAGAATATATGGAATCAGGAACTGATGGAGGCTGCTCAGGAAAGGGAAAACATGGAGAAAAACTCTTGAGGCAACCAAGGATCCAGTAATGGATTGTGGACCTCGGGATGACGATGATGGTGATCACATCAGAAAATTCGTCTTAGAGGATGATTTTTTCCTATATCCTTTCCTTTATCTTTTCTTTAAATAGCTGTTTTTTGGATATTTTTTTCGGAATTATTTTTCTACCATCCTGAGAGGGGCGCGCTCCCTGGCAGAAACCACTACTGCAGAACACGATAATAATGGCTTTTATATCACATCAGAAAATTCAGCTTAGAGGATGAATTTATATTATATTTCTCGTTTCTTAAAGTAGGTGGTTTTGTCACTTTTTCGATTTTTTGTTTCCATAATCCAAGGGAGGGCGCGCCCCCTGGCAGAATTCGCTACTGTTGTTCACGATATCTTTTTTTTATATTACATTAGGAAATTCGTGAATGAAGATGGATTTTCCGTTTATTTCTCTTTTCTTTAAACATGTGTTTTGTCACTTTTTCGGATTTTTTTTCCACTATCTAAGGTAGGACGCACCTCCTGGCAGAATTTGCTAGGGCTGATCACAATATTTTTTTTTTATATTCCATTAGAAAATTTCTATATGGGATGAATTTCCCCTACATTTCTCTTTTCTTTACAGAGGGCGCCGCCTCCCGGCTGGATTACAGTGGCTTAATAATTATTAAGCCACTGTAGCTGGATGCGGTAGTGGCTCGAACCCTACATGACGTCCTCTTCTGTCTCCTTACCTAATTACACCTTTATCCGTCACGACCGGACTGGCGGTGGTGTAGCCATCTTAGTCCATAATAGCCTAAAGTACCGAATCCTTGATTAATTCCCACCCTCTGAATATTCACAAATTGACTACCTCCTAGCACAGGCGGATCTACGGGGGGAGGGGGGCTTTCGGGCTGAAGCCCTCCCCCCAAAAAGGTAAAATATAACTATGTTTTACAGAAAAAAATATTAAAAACTATCTCTTAAAGTATTCTTGTTCCTGCAATTACATTTAATAGGACTTCAGGAACCACTTAAAAACCAATTCATATAGGTAGTTAATTTCTTTCTTTTTTTTCAAATTAAATATCGTTATATGTATATGACGAAAAAAAAATCTTCGGGCTGAAGCCCCCCCCCAAAATTAAATCCTAGATCCGCTAGTGCCTCCTAGTAGAAATTTCCTGTGATAATTACCCTCTCCTTTATGCAGTGATCTATTGCACTAACGGATCCAGGATTTAATTTTGGGATAGCTTCAGCCCGAAAGAATTTTTTTTTGTATAAATATATTAGGATAATTACTTCGGAAGAAAGACAGACAATAACTACCTACATGAAATGGTCGTTAAGTGATTCTTTGATTCCTATAACTGTAATTAGACGAACAATAATACTTTTATAGATTTTTTTTTTCATAAAACATGTTTATATTTTACCATTTTGGGAGGTACCTCAGCCCGAAAGCTTCTCCCCTCTCCAACCCGTAGATTCGCCCGGGATTTATTGTCCTCCTGTTGTTCCATTTGGTCAGTCATTAGAATCAACCCTATTCAACTTTGTTCCTCTCTATCCTAGAATAATCATCTCCAGTGACCTCAATACCACTTTCCTTTCTAATTTCAATGACAAAACCTATTTTTCTCCCTTCATATCTTTATTCCTTTTAACGTTACTCACCACACCTGCAAGTCGGATACTTCGTTAGATTTCTTCATTATATACTCCACACAAAATCTCCTCTCCTCCTCTCAATTGCCAGTATCTTTTTATCGTCTCGCGACCACCAAAACCAAAACTAACAATTAAACTAAGCAAATTTATTTTTATTGCGAGGAGTATGTAGTTTTGATAGTGTGGAGACATTTAAGTGTCTTGATATAATTGCAACTTACAATAATATAATGGAGGAAGAAATATAATCAAATATTGGAAATGTAAACAAGGTATTGGTCCCTCAGAAAGGTATTTCAAAATAAAGATATACTCTGAAACCTCAAAATAAGAGTAAATAAAACCGTACTTAACCCAGTTGTCATTTATGGTAGTGAGACCTGGACCCTAACCAAACAGCAAGAGAGATTGCTGAGTACATGGGAGAGAAAAATTATGAGATGAATATGGTCCTACCAAAGAAGGAAGTCATTATGGTATAGAAACAAATGCAGAACTTGAGGATCTATATGGGGAACCTAGTATAGCCTGCATTATAGGTGGCTGGACCATGTATATCCAATTTTTTATCAAACTTTACATTTAGGGATCTTTCCATTAATTATTTTCGATTTTAATTTTAATTTTTTCCTTTCTCCTTTCCTCTTTCCCCGTTTCTCCTTTCCCCTTTTCAATTTTTGGAAAAATCAAGGAGAATAAGGATGGTGAATTTCTGTTGGTCTATAGCTGTGTGGGGATCTTGGGAGATTTTAATAAAATAATATTTAAATGATTGTTTCCCTATTTTAGAGTTTGTCTCCTTGTTTTGTATTTTCCATCTTCTGTGCAAAACAGTGAAACAAGATAAACCAAAAAGGGTAGTTCAGATTTACCGCTAGTGTTGCTATTAGTTAGACAAATTATTTTTTTTTTTCCTAGATTTATTGTTTGATTGATGGGCCATGGATGTTAATTAGACTATCTGTAAGTTTAGCAATCATTTTGAAAATGGGAGGCTTATTATTTTTATTATTTTTTTATTTCTTCTTTATTATTTCTTATTTCTTGAGTATTATCAAGGCGAGCTATAAACAAAAAGTTACTGACGCATGGACCAGGCTGAGCTATTTATTAAATAAAAGTGTTAAAGAATTAAAATATAAAAAAGGTATCCTGATAACATTCAGGAGACCCTTTAAAAGGAAGAATGATTCTATCCATTCAAGAGCGGTTATCACTTTACTTTTGACGTCACCAACGTAGGTTTCCTAGGAATAGATTTTAAAGATGATAATGTTTCAGTTTTTCCTGACTCTTATTCCAAACTCAATCAATTTAATTTTGTTTCTTAATAAAAGTTATGAATGAATTTGAAATTTAATAGATTTATTATCTATTGATGGTATTATCAAACTTCAAGATTCACTCAACATAACTTTAGAAAAATAATAAAGTTATAATATATAAAGAGATTTTGGAATATGGGTTTCATTATGTTATTTCATAAAATCATCTATAATGGCTAGGGCATTTATGGTAACTTTAATATATTTATCTATAGATATTATAGCGTATTCATATTTTCTATATTTTTGATATACTCTAAAAAATTTAATATTTCCTAGAAATTCTACTTTAGTTTATCATAAAGATTTTGTATCTGGGAAATAGCATTTGCCTTTAATTCCTGATGCATTTCACCCTAATGAATGCTTTAAACTTTAGCTATATGAATTGTTGGCATTCAATAATTTAAGGGTTCTCATTTGTGTGTTATTCAATTTCATATCTGTTTGCGCCCACGACCAACTTCTGCTTATGCCTTCATTTATAATTTAAAAATTTTATAAAATCATCAATTCCTACTAATAAAACTGGGCAACAAAAAAAATTTTTGAATGTTTCCAGCACTTCATGAGTCAATTCTTACTAATTTTGGGTTGAGAAAAAGGAATAAGACAATGAAAAATTTTTCTTAACTCTAGTTCCTGAGATATACACTAGGTGAATGTATTTCATATTAACCGGCTAAGAGAAAAAGGTACATTTAATTAAAATTAATATATACTTACAACATTGAAAGTACATTTGATTTTTCAAAATGGTAGTTACATTCTAAGATGGTCGTGCCCGAAGAGATTGTGTGGTGGCTTCCTGAGATCGTCATCTTTTAGCTTGCCTTTTGTAAGGGAGTTCCGGAGCATTCTTACACAAAGACCAACAGTAATCCGCAAGCACTGCTTCATTCCAATGGCCGTGAAATCTTTCTTCCATAACAGAAATGTTCTTATAGAATCTTTCTCCATGTTCATCACTAACAGCTCCACAAATAGGAAGGAAAAAGTCTACGTGGGAGTTTAAAAAAAATAAAAAAACATATATATTAAAATAAAATTATATTTATTTAAAAATTCTAAATTATTTTTCCGACACATCCCTTTCACAGCCATAGAAATCAACTATAAGGAATCACTGTCTTTAAACATAGTTTCATACTGATCGCAGTAACTAGGAGAACGCTTAAAAATTTGACTAGTACAATCTTTAGAGGCAGTAACAAGAGCCGACCCGTCGTATGAGATAGCAAAATCATAAACTTCATCCTTATGATGTGTAAGAATTTGAGCACAAACACCAGTATCCCAATGCCACAATCTTACGGTACCATCTGAAGAAGAAGTGATTACAAAACCACCACCAGGAGTAAAAGTGATCTAGAAAAATGGTGAAAAATTAACAATTATAATATTCATTACAATGAAAAATTAGTTTCATTACCTATAAAATTAAAATTAAAATTTTAAGAATGTTTTAATATAATTTAGATTTTAATTTTTAAGTTTTAATGTTAGTTTATAACACTTTTTATGAAGTTATGACTGCATTGCTTAACTGCTTCTGTCTTTCAAAAAAAATAAAAGATATTCTTTACCCTTTCAAACATTAGTTATTTTAAATTAATTAGACGTGGATGCAGTTATTGAACTTACTTTTGAAAGTTCTTTGGTATGTCCTGTCAGTATTGAAGTAGGTTTTCCATTATCAAGAGAAAGGTCAAATACTTTTGCTAACCCATCAGTGCATGCTGTTGCAAACTTCCTTCCAGTCTTATCAAAATCAACAGAAACAACCTTTAAAAAATAAAATTGATCCATTCAATAAACTAGTTTCTGTTTTTTCATGTGTTCAGTTTTTACAAATACAGAAGTTTTTATAATTAATAAGTTTAATGATTTTTGTAAGTTTTTTTTGTTTATGATCAACCTTAATTTATAATAATCAATTACCTTATACATGGTGTCTTTATAAGTCCGTACCTTGAAATATCGTTGGAAGTAGAATAAAAAATTGTAAAAGTATAAGAGCTTATATATTCCTTGAAGACACTATATATAAGAACACTGAGTGCCCTTGAAAAGCACTACCAAAGTAGCTAAATATAGGTATAATAATCAAATAATGTTACTACTTAATTACAAAAAAAATCTGGGAACTTATAACCCCATATACTTTGAGAAAAAATAATATGATAAAATATAATACAGTTTTTAAAATACAGTTACCTAATACAGTTACCTAATAATACAGTTACCTATTTGTTAAAATTGTTATAAAATATTCGTTTGTATTATTACAATTTTAATACACCTGTCCACTGAACTGGGGCAATAAAATTGCTAAATTATACTGGAGTAATTATTTTAGGTTCCTGTACATATAAAAAATTTAGTTTAGCATCCTATGAAATAACTATGTTAAATAACATAACCATAGTTTTTCTTTTTCTATTAAGCCCAAGAATATCTGAAAAATTCTGGGTGAATTAGTAAGTTTATATAACAAAACTTATCAGAATGGTGGAAGTTCTATGGTTTGAACACTATTGGAACAGTAATTCAATCCAAGAGTTGGAACAGTGAACAAAAACTTTCAATGCTGATTAAAGCAATATCTAATTATTGTGAAAGTTAATAACATAGATAAAATAACTACAAGAAAAATATAAAAAATGATGCATTTTTAAAGTAGCATAAAAGTTTCCAGCTTTTTCTATTATAGTAGGCATCATAGTACAAGTAAAGACAAAAAATAAACTATTAAGTGTTAAATAAATAATTATTTCATCCAATAAGTAATAAGATGAATACCTCATCATCATGCATCAGCGTTAAAAGACATTTCTGAGTTCGTACATCCCAAACTCTGGCTGTACTATCTACAGAACCGCTACCAACCAATGTGCTCTCAAAATTTAAACAACAATTACTTATCTCAGCCTTATGATCTTCAAAAGCCACCTCCTTTCTAAAAATAAAATTTCCATCCATTCAACTCCTTAAAACATTATTCTGTTTCTATAAATAACTTAATTGAAACATTTGAATTTGATTAACTTACTTATGGGTTCTCTTATCCCACAAAAAGATGTTACTGTCAAAAGATCCAGTTAACACGGTGTTTCCATCGTTACTGAATTGGAGTGAAATAATTGTATCTCTGTGTTCCTCTATCGACCACAGCTCCTCCCCTTAATGAAAAAACATTTAAATATCTATAATAGAAAGAACCATGAATTAGTATTAAGAGATTCATATTAGTACTTATAGAAATTAAGGTTCCATATGACTAATAGTATGATTGAGAAATACCTGTTTCAAAGTCAAAAATTTTTGCAGTCTGGTCCATGGATGCAGTTCCAACAAGATTATCAATGGGATCATATTTGGCAACTACTACTTCATCTTTGTGACCAAACAATGTTAATAACCGCTTTCCAGTTTCAGCATCCCAAATGCAGGCTGTTCGGTCAAAACTAGCAGTCATGATTCGATCCCTAAAATTAGGTAGAAAATTACCCAAAGTTCTATGTCTAATTTATTGAAACTATTAGGCAACATATTATAATCAAAACAATAACATAAAATATTTTATTTGCAATGAAAAAACAATTTAATTTTAATAATTGATTATTTTATATTATAATATAATAAATGTTTTAATTCACTTACTTTCAGATACCAAGTTTTTATGAAGACAGAATAAAAAATCTTGTATAAAATTTTTATAAAAGCTAAGAAGTATTTTTTCAATAATTAAGAAAATTAGGTAAAATTTATTTAGATTTTAGCATTTTCATCAAAAACTAACATTTAATGTGTTACAATATTTATCTTCTTTTAAATCTTTACAATTTGTTTAAAATATTTTTAAAAATTTCAATCACAATACATTATATCACTTATCTTGGTTAAGGAAAAAAAAAGCACAAGAATATTGTAGTTTATAATGCATGTTATAAGATGTTTACCACTTACCCATAAGGGTTATTAAAAGAAACTCCATAAATTATCCCAGTATGAGAAAGATTCAATAAAACATCTCCGGTTTCAGTGTCACATACTTTGCAAGTTTGATCAAAACTTCCAGTAATGCACCTAAATATTTACAATGTTATGAGAAAAAGTTGTTAAACTGATCACATATCAACAAAAATTCAACTACGCTAAGAACTTGAAGGTATACTTATAGTCTGTAGAATTTATGATCATAATATAAACCAATACTGACACATAAAGAGAGAAGTTATATACAAAAAGATGTTTTTAATATTTATACTGGATCTAACAATCTTAATTTTTCCCTTCTTTTCAATACAGCTATCTACCAACAAATATACAGCTATCTACTTTAGGCTGTATTTCACGGCTTATTTTCTGGGGATTGGTTTGGGCATTTGGCCTTGTATTTTAATTTTAACTTGTTACTGAATCAGTGAATAGAATCCTCACTGAATTAATTTTCTTTTCTTCTATAAGATCATAAAAAGTTAAAAATATAACTAACAAAAAAATAGCATCATTTCTTATCCATAACTATATATATTATTATATTATTAATATTATATATTAATATTATATGTTATTATTATATAAAATTAATATTATATATTAATAAATATTAATAATAATAATAATAATAATAAATAATATTATTAATATAATATATTATTATAATTATATTATTAATATAATATATTATATATAATTATTAATTATTAATATTAATATTAATAAAAATTATTATTATATAATAATAAAATTAATATTATATATTATTATATATAACTATATATATTATTTCATAATTTCTCAAAATGGATATTTTAAACCTTAAAATGGAGACTTTATATTATATTTGATAAAAAAAAAAACTTGTACCACTACAACCCATGAAGGGTCTTTGGGTTCAGTACTATTTAGGGAAAGCATTGTTTCTTGGTCTACGGTTGTGCAAGGAGGTGATTTGTGATCACGCTCAACCACCAAGTTTTTCCTCTTAATTAAGGGTACCCACTTTATAGAGGATGGATGTGCCCCAGTGGGGTCTACCTACCGAGAGTCACCCCATGTCTTATGAAACAGAATAAATAATTTTTCTGCCATGAACCGGGATTCGAACCTAGGACCTTTAGCTTTGGAAGCTCAGTACCCTACAACTGAGCTACCCCATTTCCCATTAATTTGACAAAAAGGTAGGTATATTTTCTCTCTTTCCAAAAAAGGTGACGTCTTGAAATAAATATTCATTAATAATTCTTAATTTAGATGAAAATAATACTGTCACTAAAATTTCATTCCATTTACAAAAGACAAATATATGGAATCATAATGTTTTTTAAAAATAACATTTTTATTTTTTCTATATTTTCTATATATTCTATATTTTTTCACTAACTTAAAACATTAGACTTCATAGATTAGTAATTATAATAATAAAATGATAAGGAAAAAGGCTAAAAAAAATTGAAATACAAGATAATAGTTATTTTTAAAAAGCCGGTACTTGGATCCATCTTTGTTAACAGCTACTTGAGTTATTGGCATGTCATGATAATCAAGAGTTCGATGCTGGATATATTGGTTGTTGATATCATCAAATAACTTTTTCTGTAGCTTGGCGAGAACCGATAATAACTGAGGTTTCACAGATTCAGTGACCAGTGGCTCATTATCCATTATTGATTTGCCCAAATTCATAATATCTGTACTAAAACAAGCGAAATCTCCGTTAAAATATTTCCAGTATTGTAAGTTAAACATTACTTACTCAAGAAATAAAAATAATTTTAAAATGAATGATGATAATAAATAGACTAAATAAGAAGGTATTACATAAATTTGTTATTAATTTATTCATCACTATAACTACTACTATATTTACTACATACAGCTTATTATCTAAAATCAATGTACATCTTTATAATTATAAATTTAGCAATAATATAATGTACATGTTTGTAGCTCTCGTTTAATCTAACATTACACAGTCAAGTATGACTTCAGAAAATTTAAATTAAAGTTAAATTTAGTCTCCGTGTTCAGTTAAATCAGTGTATTCATAAACAAATTTAAAACCTTGTAGATCTTTGGCCGCCTGAACCAGCCTTCTCCATCTCTGCCTGTCATGGGCTATTTCTTTCCAGTTTGCTGCATGAAGCTCAGCTGTATCTTTGTTTATCGTATCTATCCATCTGGTTTTTGGCCTCCCATGTGGTCTCTTGTCTACTACTCTGGAATTCATTGTTGTGTAAAGGTGTCCTGATGGATTGCTATGAGCTACATGCCCCACCCATCTTAACCTCCTTGCCTTCATGTAATGAGATATTGACTGACCCGTTTCTTTCAGCAGTTCTTCATTGTTTATTCTTATCCATGTGTCAAGGTTCTGGTCCCATATAGGTCCTGTTATCTTATGGAGAACTTTTCTTTTGAATCTTTCAATTATGGCTTCTAGTGTGCCGGTTAAAGCCTAGGTTTCACAGCCATATAGTAGAACTGACTTAATCACGCCGTTGCACACACTCATTTTTAGTTATCTGGAGGTTTTTATATATATATACACGGTAACCCTAGACAGATATTAATCTATACACGGTAGATAGAAATCAAATTAGAAAATCGGAAAACCTTAATTTACATCAATAAAAAATCTAAAAACAATTTCTTATAACTAAAAGAAACAATATATAAAGATCGTAGAAGTCTTCCTTTTTGTCATTCCAGATGAAAAAAAAAACTTTTCTTCAGTTATTTCATTAAATAAAAAAACAGATCACTATACTGTTTTTAAAACTTACAACGGAGTTATTTGCAAAAGATCAGACAAGCTTTATTTATTTATTTTTAATAATTCAAAATAGTACCTGGTTGTTAAATGTAAAAGATTAATCATTTTTTTCTTTCTCTCCCCTCTTTGGGAATATTCCAATCCAAGGCCTAAAAATTGCTTTAGTAAGTGGTAGATAAAATAAGAAGTAACAAAATTTTATATTTGTTGTTCATAATTACCAGGTGGAAAATATCTCAACAGAAATTTCTGTAGTTTCATTCATAAATTATTTGACATTATACAATAAAATGACAACATAACCAACCAGCTTAAAACAAACATTAATTATATCAATGAACACACTAACATATGGGTATGTATTGAGCAAACTTGATGCTACCATGGAAACATATTAAGTGGCATTTGGATTGAAAATTAAAATTTGTGTACATTGACTATTGATCCTGGGCAAATGAAATGAATTCTCTCAAAATATCTCATATGTTTAAAAGATGAATAACATCTCTAGTTTTGTGTAGAGTATAAAAGTGTTTAATTTATTTAATACTAAAATTAGAGTCAATTTATTGCCATACATTTATTGTCCTGAAAGTAGAGGGAAATTATAATAGGGGTGATAGCAGGCTTTAATAAGACCTACAAAAAAGTTCATAAAAACGATGGGCCAATTTTCAGCAGAAAAGTAGTAAATCCAAGTTGTTTTTTTTTAAGAGAGCCATGTTTTTTTGTTGAATTGGAAGCGATAACAAAAGTAATATTTAAATTAAGTAATTAACAATTACTTCACTATAAACTAGACAAAATTTACTTTAATTATAGAGAGAGTTTGTCATTATTAAAGCCATTTAAAGAGGACATTTGAGCGGCTAAACTAAGCAAAGTTCTGTTTTAAAAAAAAAACATGAATTATTCGCAATTTTGTATTATCATCATTCAACAATACTACAGCCACCCCACTTTTATAAAAACTACTTTGTTTAATAAGGTTTAAGATTATAATAATTAAATTGAGGTGTATTAGGCAAAAACATGACATTCACCTCAAATTGTGTAAAGAAATGACGTGATTTTCTATCCATCTCCTGAGAGTATCCATGTTTTCAGCAAAAATTACTACAATTAACTGTTGAAAAGCTTTAATTTCTTGTTTTTCCATGATCTGGGATGAATTCTAATAAAAATAATTACCTAAATATATATTTTATTTATAAAAAAAATAAAATTTAAAATAACCATTTTTAAAATATTTTTCATCCAAGATGGTTATGAAATTGTGTTTTACTTCCACATCTCCGTCATAAGAGTTGATCTGTATTTACAAGTGACAATCCTAATATTTCTATCCCTAATATTTAAGTTTTCATGAAAATAATTGAATGAATCAGTAGGTTTCTTTATTTTAAATGTCAATGTCAAAAATATTTAAAATATCACCATTTTTAATTTTTTTTATTTTAATAAATAAAATGTGTATTTACGCAATTATTTTTATTACAGTACATCCTAGATCATGGATTAAGAAATACTTTTTTTTTTTTTTTCCTCTTTATTTTTTAATTCTGCACTGTCAATGTCCACTGACAACCAGTGAATGAGATAACTACAAATAGACTACGAGAAAGAGAAAAACCCAGTGGTTTATCTTCGGTCATGTTAGTGGTTAATTAAGTAGAACTCTCATCCAACTCCTTTTCAGCCTTCTGCGGATGTTATCGGACTGTTTTTATTGGCCATGTCTTAGATGAGTCTATTGGGGTGACCATAGAGCTTGTTGTGGAACCTTTTGTAATAAGTTTGTGTGTTCTGTGATGGTTTGCATGCGTAAGTCTTTGTGGAGAGTTATGTTACTAACATACCAAGGTGCTTGAGTAATTGTTCTGAAGGTTTTTTTGGCCTGAAATATTTGTAATTTCTGAATGTGTCTAAATCAACAAGAAATACATAAGAAAATATGGGTACTTTTAGGAGGCTGGATAGAAAATCACATAATTTCTTTACACAACTTGAGATGAATCTCAAGTTTTTGCCTAATAGTCCTCAATTTAATTAATATAAGTTAAACCTTATTAAACAAGGTAGTTTTTCTAAGGGCCAGTTGCTCCAACTCAGTAAAACTAAGATAATCGTTATCTAAGATTAAACCAAGTTTTCTAACGTCGACCAATCAAGATTAAACTTGGTTTAATCTTAGATAACGCTTAATTCAAGCTTTACTGAGTTGGAGCAACTGGCCCTAAAAGCGAGGTAACTGTAGTGTAGTTGGATGATGATAAAAGAAAAACAAAAATAATTTATGATTTTTTTTTTAAAACAGAGCTTAGCTTAGTTCAGCCGCTCAAATGTTCTCTTTAAATGGTTTTTATAATGACAAACTTTCTTTTGAGTTTAAGTAAATTTTGTCTAGTTTACAGTGAAGTAATTGTTAATTACTTGATTGGCCCGTTTATCTCAAATTTTGTATAGATCTTGAGCCTGCTATCACTTCTATCGAAATTTCTCTCGACTTATGGGACACCCTGTATATAGATTAAGATATCTTTCTTATGGTATATCTGTTATCAATCAATCTATTCACTATGGTGCCATATCCTTCATTCTTGGTAGATTAACATAAAAAAAATTTTAATTAAAAATCCTCAATTTTTCTTTAAATTATTCCTTGTTCTAAAACATTAGGGTATTTAAGCAACCAATGCTATGTATTGTAAACATCTTAAATGTGTAAAGCAGAAAAAAATATTTACAACCTGTGTTAAATATGGCCGCTAGCACTTTCCATTTAAACGCAGCCTAGGGTCCTGTAAAGTGTTGCGAACTTAGTAAACAGGGGGAGAAGGTTATTGTAAGGTTTTGATGTTTGATTCTTTGTTCATGTACAATATCCACAGAAATGGAATCTAAAAAAGACAGCTAGGATTTCGTCTATGTATTCAAGTTTTTTGCCATCTGAACCTTCATTCATGCTTTCTAAGAAAGCATTTTTTAACCAAATAATTCAACAACTCATTCTTTTCACTTTGCTTTGGCATTTTAAAAATTAATCAAAACATTAGTAGATCAATTAAGAACTCACAAACTTTGTTTACAGTACAGGCATAACCCTATTATAGCTAATAACATTTTGGCACAGACAGGTTATTTATAGTTCATTCAAAATTTGTGCTCACTGCTTAGCGTGATAGCGCATTAAGCATTTACAAGTGCATGAATACCCTAATTTTGGCATTTTATTATACTTCAATAATTGGAATTAATATACATAACTAGTAGTTAACAACAACAAACAGCAAAGATTTTTTATTAAAACAAAAATAAATGTACAAATACATTTTTAGGTATACAAAATAATTCTGAAAAAAAAAATAACAAGACCATTTATAAATTTAAAAATCTCATCTCCAATAATAAACAGTTTCAGGAAGTGATGTATTTAACAGATGAACACAAAAAATTCTTGATAAAACAATAGTTGTATATGAGTTAAAGAGTTTTCAAAAACAAAACAAGCATTTTTAAAGAGTATTTTCACAACGCTTTTTACCAATAAATTAAACCTAAGCACTAAAATACTCTCACAGAATGACAAACAACCATAAATAAACTCTATCCGTTAAGGGCCATTGGGGAAGGCCAAGCTAAAAATTGATGGTTTTATAAGTTTTAAAATATAAAAACGCAAACAAATTAACAATGTTAACATAAATAATCTCTATTTGTTAGGGTAATGATTCAAAATACATCATAATAATAATAGATAAAAGGTCTATAATTTCTAAATAAAAAGAAATGTGGGAAAAATAAAACTGTACCACATATACACACGTTTATATACTAAGTACACTGCATAATACATATGTACATCCGTATATACTAATACATCAGATTTTAATCATGCCATCCCATTGATGCTATAGTTACATCAGACTTGTAGCAACAGCTTTGGCACTCAATGGTTTAATGATAAATGGTTAGCTCTCGTCACTCGAAGGGTGAAGCTATTAGCAAAGTAAATTTTACTAGATATAACTATTAAGAGTTTTGGTAAGTTATATTCCTCAGGGGCCCATGGGCAAAAATATATCAATAGAAATTACCAATTACTCGAAATTCAGAAGAATCTTATGAAAATATTTTTTTTTTCCAGAAAATCCATTTTATTTATGAACATTTCGAATAACAATAACTTTTTAGTAAAGGAAAATTTAAAAAAAAATTAATTAGAGGAAGCCTGCTTCACAAATTAGACCTTTTATCTAGAATGTATGTTATCAACAGTAAAAACGAAAAATAAAAAATTCAACACACACATATCAATACATACATTCAATGAATTTGTGCAATTTAAATAAAAGAAAACATATAAAAATTATTATAATAATGTTGAAAAAATTAAAGATTTTTGCCAAATATTGCACATTAATTTACATAATTTACATGCTAAAAGGACATTAACACATCTTCCAAGCACAGAATTCTCACATTTTTACATTGTAAAAATACAAATTAATATATATTATATATATCAAGATTTTAAAAATAAAATCTCTTTTACGATCTTAAATGCTTTCAATTTATGAATTTTGACATTTAGTAGCCATCTTCATCTTTCGCCATAACTAGGCTCATTCAAACAGAATGAACAGGATTTATAAATTTAATGAACAAATTATTTTACTTTCTGAGTTCTCTGCTTCAAGTTCTTTTTTGTATTCTGATCGACCTCCGTCAATTCATCGTATTCTTGTTTCTTTCCTAAATATGAAATATTCGAACATGAGAAAAATTTTTATTTTAAATAAAAAGAAGTACAAAATTAATGTTTAGTAAAATAATAAATAAATTCCTTCTCAAACATTACATATCAATAATAGATCGTTCTAGACTAAATGAGGCCAGTCTCAGGGCAGATCAAGGAAAGTGAGAAACAGAATTTGCAGTGAAATATACAAGACGAAATATTTTGGTGAATTTTTTCTTCATATGTTCACTGTTTCCTTTGTGTTAATTTCATTTTCAAAACTATCTGCTTACATACATAGATCTGAGTTACATAAAAATGATTTTATGGTTATTGTAAAATGAAGTTATGAAGTTAAGAAAACAAAATATTTTTGTGATAAAAACTTACAACATTGTACAGTATCACTAAACAAATCATGGTACATTAATATTATAATGTAAATTAAGAAGTTTAAAGACAATACTACCATAAAATACATATATGGTAAAAATGTTTCTTTGAGAAAAATAATGATTAGGGTACTGGTCTTGGAGGGGGGTGCAGTGTATCTAGTGGTCCTTTTTGCCAAACCCAGATAGCTAGATGGCATTCAGTACTGAAAAGAGTGGAAGTATCAAGATTCATTTATTGGGACCACTAAAAAAATATTAACTGATCTCAGGTAGGAATTGAACCCACACATTTCTGAACAGGTTATTCAGGGGCATTCACCCCAATGAACTCTGCCATCATGGCCTCTTCAAGAAAGCACAATCCAAATAAAAATTTAGATTGTTCTTTATAAACCTATATTGATTATAATCCATTGATTGATAATGGATTAATCATAATCATAATACTTGAGACATTTTTCCTTCCTATAAGTACAAAAGGTAGTTGCATATTAAAAGGAGTGTATGAAAAACAATTAATTATTTTTACTTTCTCTTACCTATACATGAAATATATAGTAAAGGAATGTATTGTAATAGTGAAAATTTTCGAATCTGCGTTTTCAACGGAAATACACGTTTTGAGGTCTCCTGAGTCCAAATAACCAAGTACCGCAAAATGGTCTGTGTGTGTGTGTTAACAGTCTAGATCAAAAACGAAGTCGTACAAAAGTGAAATTGCATATTTAAGGTTTTTATATGCTGGGGATGTTACAGCCACTTTTTTATCAAAATCGGCAAACCGGCAGTGGCACTTTATATAATGGACTAAACACATATTTACGATTTTCTCATAAACGGCTTGAACGATTTTGATTAAATTCACCATATTAGTGTAAAATTAAGCAAATTTAAATAAAATGTAGTTTTTATTCTGCTTGATGGTCTCTAACAGCGCTTAAATGGCTATTTTTCAATATAAGCTTCCCCTAAAGAACCTTTAATTTTTTTTATTTGAAAAAATCGGCCATTTCACATTAATGACTAATATAAAAGATAGTTAAATATAAAGGTACTCCTTAAATAGCTGGTCAGGTCAAAACCTCCCTTGTTATCTAATCTTATATCACATAACCTCCCTTCTTATCTCACCTAACCCAAGTTATTCCATTGTTTATTTTTTGTTCCTAGTGTAAACTGTGAGTTATTCCATCGTTTATTTTTGCTCCATTAGCGAAGGAACGTGGTTGTTACATTGTTAGATTTGCCTTCTTCAAAAGAAGAGGCTATCAAATATTTTCAAGACGCCAGGATGATTGCAAAGCTGAAATATTGTTTGTTTGTTTGTTTAGGCTTTGAGCCCTAAGGTCATCAACGCCTGGAATATTGAAAAATTGTGATGAAGGTCATGAATTTAATTTATAGATTACAGCGATATGAATATTAAAATTGTTATATATAAGGGTACTTATACAAATAAATATACCCACAATGAAATATAAATAAATATAGCGTCTATAATTTTTAATTTCACTTCCCTCTAGTCAGAAAATTTCTTTTTCTGCTAAGAAGAGTGTGTGTAAGTGAAAGTTGTGTGATGCGCGCACAGCACCAGATATTTTTTTTATAATAAAATGAATTTATACCACACTCTTTCCAATTTAATAAATCAACATTATAACTGATATTTGTGTAAATATGGTCAGACATATCTATTTTCTTTTAATGGGTTTGAGCAGACAATTTTACTCACCGTCTCCCTTCTTTTTTCCAACTAGTTGTTTGGGCTTAACAGTGAGCTTACGGACTGAAGCTGGGGCAGTTTCCCTTAACTGCCTAAGTTGGTCCGTAATAAAGTTAAACATCAGGTATACTTGGAGAAGTACGACAGCAGTCAGAGCACCAACTCTTACAGTGGGACTGTTAAAATCGCCAGGAGCTCCAGTGTTAGAGGGTGCTAATGAAAGCCCATACCAAAATGTTAATACAGACAGCATCACAGATCCAAGACGGGCAAGAACAAAGAAGACATGCCAAACCATGTAGCCAGCTAGAAAAAAAATATAAATTAACTTAAAACAAATTATTTAAAAAATGATGATCCCATAAATATATACTCAATGCAAGTACATATATAAATAGTGGCTCCCAATAGTTTATACTATTTCAAATGTATAACTGATACAATGAATCCAATCAAAAGTAGTTATTTGCAAAATGTGTACATTTCTTTAATTATTAATGAAAATAAATTTATTCAATTCAAAATTTATTATAATTTATACTTTTATTGAGGATTAACTTTAATAAACAAAACTAATAGTCTCAAAAGTTTTCACAATAAGTATATGTGAACTGAGATCATCAGCTTTTCAATGTAAATTCTATTAATTCTCTATTTAATAGTAAAAATGATGAATTAATTTATATTATGAATATGAAATTTTCTACTCAATCTAATTATGCCGTGAACCCTTGGAATGAATATGATGTGAAAAAAATTAAGCATTAATGGAACTACTGAACATTTTTTTTTTTTTTAATCTGTTTATTGAATAATAATACAATCAGCCACTGCTGGAGGGCTATAAGCATTAGGGCTACAAGTTCTCATTCATACAATATATACAAATAATAAAGAAATAAATATAAATATAATAAGTAAATAAATAATACTGGTGAAGAAGTTAAATAAAAATAAAATAAAATAAAAATTTCTAAACACAATCATACCTATATACAATATATACATTCGCCCAAGAATCTCCGAGCCAGGCTTTTTCCCCCATACGTGGAAGGCGAAGCAAGACTCCGGGAGATCCCAGCGCCACTTTTCCAGCCGCATCACTAGTATTAGAAGCCAATGGAGACTGAAAGAGGGCACTACAGCCACAGACGCTCAGGACATGAGTGGAGAAGCTGGCCATTGCCAGGACTCCAAAGGCATATTTACAAAAGATCTCGAGGCCACTGCCGTTTCAACCTTCGAGGGGGATGGTATGGATGTTCGGAGCTGGATAGGGATTGCGCTAGAGGATTGGGATGATGAATGAGGTTCTGGTGAAAGTTGGAGAATCTGGATGGGATGATGTCATGGACATATGGGATGTTAAGGTCATGGTGTAGGGTCTTGTTCGTGACATAATATGGAGCATTGACTATTGTTCGAAGGACTTTGGACTGGAAGGATTGGATGCGTTTGATATTCGATGATTTAGTTGTCCCCCACAGTTCAAGTCCGTAGGTCCAGATAGGTTTCAGTATGGTCTTGTAGATTAATAATTTGTTTTCTGTTGAGAGATGAGATGTTCTGTTTAGTAGTCTATATAGCTGACCAAATCGTCGGTTAAGCTCTTGTCTTTTAAGTCTGGTATGTGGGTTCCAAGTCAGTCTTTTGTCCAAAAGGAAGCCAAGGTATCGGACTGTGTCTGAGTAGGGAAGAGGAATTGAATTAAAAAGGATTGGTGGACAGGATCTGCGTCGAAGAGTGAAAGTTACATGCTTGCATTTTGATTCATTAATTTTGATGCGCCAGTTGTTGCACCACTGCTCAATGAAGGAAAGGTGTCTTTGCAGGTTCTGAGACGCTATTAGAGGATCCGAGTGAGAGGATAGGATGGCAGTATCATCAGCAAATGTTGCTAGGAAGGTATCAGGACTTGAAGGGATGTCAGCGGTGAAAAGGATGTAGAGAACTGGGCCCAAGACACTGCCTTGTGGAACACCAGCCTCAATTGGATAATGTTTGGAGAGTTCAGTGCCGCAGCGGACTTGAAAGGAGCGATTTGAAAGGTAGGATTTGAGGACTAGGTACAAGGGTTGAGGTAAATGGGTTTTGAGTTTGAAAAACAAGCCATCGTGCCACACCCGGTCGAAAGCTTGAGCTACGTCCAGAAAGGCACCAGTGCAATATTGCTTGTTTTCAAGTGCAGAGGATATGTGGTCGACAACGCGAAGGCCTTGTTGGACAGTGGAGTGTCTTGAGCGGAATCCAAACTGATGGGGAGGGATATTGTGGGATTCGAGTATGGGTAGGATGCGTTTGAGAAGGATTTTCTCAAAGATTTTGGAAAGGATCGGAAGTAGGCTTATCGGTCTATAGGATGATGTATAATTAACAGGTTTACCTGGTTTAGGAAAGAGGATAATTATGGAGTGTTTCCACACCAGAGGAAAGTGGGTTGTGCGGAGGATACAGTTGAATAGGTATGTAAGGAATATAATTGCTTTTTTGGGAAGTTGTCTGAGGATCTGGGAAGTAAGGAGATCGTGTCCTGGAGATTTGCGAGGTTTTAGGTTCTTTAAAAGGAATTTGACCTCAGAGGGGTTGACGGCTGTAGGAGGTAAGGAGAGAGGAATCGGTGAAGAGAGGAACTCTTTAACTTCAGCAGTATGGGAGGGATGGAGTTCAGGATGAGGAGTGAATGTGTACGATAGATGTTTAGCAAACTCTTCTGCTCTATTCTCATCTGACGAAGCCCAGGAACCATCATCACGGCGGAGGGGGTGGGAAATGGATTGGAATTTAAGGATTTTTTTAGTTACATTCCAGATGGAGTTATCACTTGCAGATAGTGAGGAAAGATAGGAATTATAGGATTGGGATCTAAACGTGGCCAGTTTTTGTTTTACTTGCTTGGAATAATAGTTATATGATTTCCGATCATCAGGATGCCTGGTTCTTTGCCAGATAGCCCTAGAGCATCGTTTTCTATTAATAAGGTCCAGTAGGTCTTGGGGTAGAGGATTTGTTTTGCGGTATTTTTTAGAAGGATCAGGTGAAGATGCAGTCCAAACTGCTTGTTGGATCAACGTAGTCATGGATTGTACTGCTTCATCTAGGTCTGTAGGTGTTTTTAAGGAAACTCTGAGGTCAATATTATCATCCAGCAATTGACGGAAGAGGTTCCAATTAACTGGCCCCCTGATAAATGAAGGTGGAGGTGGTTTGGGAATTGGTGATGTGGAAACCGTTAGGATTAGGGGACTATGGTCTGAGGAAAGATCATCAAGTCTTGAGATGCAATAATTAAGGGACCCTAGACCTTTGTGGATGAAAAAATCTAGGAGATCGGGATTGCGGTTAGGATCTGTTGGCCAGTATGTGGGAGAATTGGGTGAGAGGATGTTGCTGTGATGGGAATTTAGTGCAGCTAGCAATGTTCGTCCTCGGGAATTTGTGGTTCTGGCTCCCCATTGCTGGTGTTTAGCATTTAAATCTGCACCTAGAAGGAAGTGGTGTCCTAAGGAGTTAAGGAAGGAAGTTAATTGGGATTCTGAGATGGGTATTTTAGGCGGGGAGTATGCTGCGACTACTGTTATTGGGTAAAGGGAAGTTTGGATTATCACGGCAGTACTGAACAGTAGATGTCATTTAATGTTATGAGAACAGACTTGAGAATAAGGACAAATTAGGACAACCAAAAGCCTAAAAGATCAGATTAAAAAATAATTAAGATTGGAAAATAATTAGTGAGGAAGAATCAAGTGGCCTTGACTGCTGAAACAGTTAAAAGAGTACTTCGATAATATGGAATTAATGGGAGAGTGAGAGAAAGAAAGAATCCGTTCGTTAAGGAAACAAACCTAAAAAACAAAAGGATTCATTTTGCTAAAAATAAATTCTAAAACACATCTGAATACTGTTATTGCATCATTATTTCGATGAAAATAAAACGTTAGGACAGAAGAAAATGGCTGAAGCCAATCAAGAGGTCAACCCGAAGGAGACCGTTGTTGGTAACAATAAACATGGTGATAGCTCAATGATGATTTGGGGGTGTTTTTCAGGCAATAGTATTTAGAAAAAATAACAATTAATTACACTTTTTTTTCACAAACTTTGTGCTTGTCAAATGGAAGTTGCAATGGTTCAAATCTGGAGTTTTATAGATTTCAACTACAAAATTTAAGAACAAAAGATGAGATATTGTCAAAACAAATAAAAAACGCAACTTTACTAAAATCTCTCCAAGGATTGTTTTGAAAAAAATAGGAAAACATAACTCCAGAATCTATTCCTTATATCATAAGGACGACAAAACTAATTAGAATGCATGTCATAATGAATAGTAAAACAGGAAATAACCCAAAATCAAATAAAATTAAACAGGGAAGTTTTATTTTTTTAATCCAGGTGTTATCAATTTTTAAATTTTAATCTATCTATACTTTATTATAACCTTCTGCTATTTATTATAAAATAGTATAGAGATATTACTTTTTAAGTTGATTTAGAATCAGAAAAGATAATAATAAATGATAATAGTTGCTCGCAATTATTTTTTAAAATTTGTAATATATATTTTTATGTGACACCAGGGATTAATTTCACATGACCAATACAAGATGTAAGCTATCTAATTTATCTCTTAAAGTTAATGAGTAATCAAACTAAGATGCAAAAAAAGTTGAATTATACCTTTGCTTCCTCGTTCTTCTTTATCAACAAAGTCAATGAGCCTTGCAATGTGATAAAAGGATTCAGACAGGTAGTGTAAAACAAGAAGGCAAATTCCAACACGGTTAAAACTGTAAACATAATTAACATACAGCTATAATATAAAATAGCTAGATATACTTAACTTGACAAAACAAGTAAAAAAATAATAATACTTCAACAAGTAGGCAGCTGCTATAAAAACAATGGCAACAGAAGCATAAGCTATCCTTTCTGGCATTTCCTCTTTCTTAATTTTTTGGAAATACAATTCTGGGAATGTATGCAGCCAATAAGATAATTGAATTATGAAGAAAAATTTGAACATGAACACCATTTCAGAATGAGGATATCCTTCCCATAGCGAAGAGATGTTGAAAATCAGGTTTTCTCTAGAACAATTCTATTGATTAGTAATTTCATGATCAACAGGTATAATACAATGCTTAATAAATCTCATATCACAAAATATTACTTGATAATAACATCTCCTCCCCATAAAACTGTCATTATATAGAATACCAGAAGTTGCCCAGATTCATTAAATTTGCTGAGTTTCACTTTTGAAAGGTGAAGTTTCCGGGTTACTTTCTGAAAATTATATAACATAGATTAAAATATAATAAAGATAAGGAATATCTTCAGATTTTACTTAAGCAAGATAAGCAGTAAAATAATAGTAGTTGTATTTTAATACTTGAAATATTCATTTATTCCTGAATAATATTTGAATATATGCAAAACAGTAAATTCATTGATTATATCAACATCGTTCCAAGAACATCATTTTATTGAAAACAAAAATAAAGATTATGTTACTGTAATTAGTATCATGTCTAAAAAATCTGTCCAATTAATTTAAAAACTAGGATTTAAAAGTTTCCACTGCTTTAAACCAAAACTTACTACTCAGAAAATTAGAGAAACAAAACTGTTCTTATAAATAATGTGTGCAATAAAAACTTTTCCAATTAAATTGGTTTAAATAAAACAAATAAGTGAAATAATAAAAATATTTAATCACACCTAATCACACTAACTCATGAAATAATTCACTGAAGCGATAAATTAGTCAATTTTAGATGAAAACAAAAAAAATTAAATGAAACATATTCTATAATAAAAGCGTGACATTTCAACTGTTGCTAAGTTATTAATAAGTCCAATAATTAAAATATATCAGTCCAACTAGGCAAAACATAGTAAACGATAATAACTAAATAAGTTCATCTAACAAATTTTCAAATATATTTTTAAAGGCTTTTTAAAGGTTCAAATACCATTGCCATCACAAGTTGTCAATACTAACAGTTCAATCATAATTATCAACTTGAGAATATGATACTGTTTTCCTTTCATATGGTTGACAGATGTCAGCCCTGACAACACTTCAACAAGTATGTTCAAAGAATTTCTTGTAATATATGAGTTGTACATAGAAACCAAATAATTAATTGATGTAAAAACTTAACTTAAAGTCAAAGAAACAAAGGTATTACTTACATCAAGTATATATTCCTGTATGATGGCATGCATTACAATGCAGATGAGAAAATAGAAGAAAACAACACAAATATCTTTCAAACCATATGTATAACGGAAAGGTAATTCTGGTCCAACATTTTCGGTGCTTACATTGTGATGCAGAGCAATAAACATATAGGCAAAAGGAGATGTTGCCTGAAAAGAATTGAAATCAATTTAAATTTATATACTAATGCAACTAAACAAGAATTCAGCTAAGAAGAACTGAATATTATATAAGAAATTGAGAACTACAATATTGTAAATATGTCACAAAATCGTTGTATGTTAAATAACTTTACCTGTATCAGTAGACCAATAACAAATACTAGGGCTACACAAGAAACGATGTCGGCATGGTTTTGTATAACGAATTCATGGCTGAATATTGGAGGATTCTTACTAGAAGACTTTCTCCCCTTGAACCCCATCTTCGTGCGACCAAGTCGGTGGAAGAAATCAAACTGAACCTCTCACCCTACTTGTACCGTTGGAACCACCGCGTTCCACGCAGCCAGTTCAACTCAATATGTAGCACACGTCATCAGTCACTGCACCACAATCACAAAACGGTAGCAGGACTATTTGTGAAAGTTTATCACTGATAAACATTTCAGATTTATTTTTGTCATAGTATTTTCTAAGAGCACACATAAGTTTGTGAACCATCAGGTTAAAACCTAATATCGGTATTTTTTCTCGGTAGAAACTGTAGAAGTTATATTCTTGATGAATATCTACACCATACCGCTTAAATTGACATTAATTTGACTTTACTATAAAAATATATCAAATGAACAAGTTTACGAAAGCAAGGTATGTTGAACGTTTTAATTTCTTTCAGGCGATATAAGGTCTATTACATATACCGAAACATAAAACAGCAACAATAGATTTTTCATTTAAGGTTTCCTAAGTAATGAGTAAGTTATATTTTCCTACTTCGGACAACCGGATCTCTTGCATTAGCAGATAAAGATGTGTATAAAATAAGACAATTTTAAACATTCGCCCTAAAAGATGGAAGTAAGGATCCTGAAGAGCTGATATTTTTTAGATGTTTGAGTCGTGTTTAATGTGATGGGAGAGACATAGTTAACATCGGTTCCATATAGATATTACTATTGTCATTATTATTAATATGGATTACAATTATTTATGAGTATGATTTAATAGACCTAAATGTATCATTAGCCCAGTGACAAACGTCCAAGATGTATCCAGAGATGCACTATCCTACACGGTAACCTTCTTGACAAGACTTGGTTGTGGCGCATACATTTTAACGCGTACCAGCATATAGAGCCCTATGGGGTTCGGACAGCTCCCCGTTTCATCCTTCAGTCGTTATTAAAGGAGATTACTAAACCTTCATAATTATAATTTGTTCATATATACACTTACCTTACCCTGTAGCCCGAATCTTTTGTATTTTTCATTTTTCCCTTCTCCAAGCTGACAGATTACTAATTTTCTTTTTGCTCATATTCCTGTCGTTTGAAATTCTTCAGAAAGTTTGATCTAGGAATTGTTTCTCTTTATTTTCATATAATATGTAGGATGAATGTTTTATATCTCAAAGAATGTATTTCCAAAATAAGCATTAAAAAACTGCAATGAAACCGTTTAAATCGAAAACCACCATTCCATGTGGAAACTAAGGGAATAACACTCAGTCCCTTACAAACAGCATACGTAAGATCACTGCGCTATTTGTCTGATGTGACGCTGAAAACCCGACAACGAAATACTCCGTGTCCTACTCCATCTGCCACGATATCATAGGTATGGTTTGGTCTCACAATATATAATGAGACACTCACGTTTTGACGCGATGGTGCATGTCTAGTCGCACATTAACGCGAATAGTTGTATGTAATATATTTCAAAGCAAATATAACCATACTCATAATAATGACTGATTTAACTCATATTACTGACTGAATTAAAGTCAGAACAAATATGTAATAGAAAACAATAATTTTTATTTGGCCTAAAAATAAAACTCGGTTGAAATTGGCAGCTCGTGAATTCTGCTGCTACAAACTCCAGTTCAACAAACTCCAGACTTCTCTGTTCATTAGCGCTGACTTCCAGCAGTATCTGATCCACAACTCGTTTGTGTCCGCAATAGTCTGTCTATCGCAGCCAATCAATTGGTCATCTTTTAAGCGCTATTCCCATCGCTCCTCGATTCTGCGATAAGTTTATTATCACAGAATCACCGTTTCCTACTTTGCTGATACAACTCGGCCATCAATACTTAAAAACAGTAAGTGTGATGGCAGGGAATCGAACCCAGACCAATTGTTTGGAAGGCAACTATGCTCACCATTACATCAACATCACAGCTGAGTTACACTCACTTTAGACTTCTTATTATAACCACCCAAATTGTATATCTCTAACTGTGATACAGATCTTGACTATTTCTTCAGTTTCTGTACCCACCTAAGAATATCCTATATGCTTTTAAAAGATTTTATGGAGAGTTTTTCTTGCGAATATTTGTAGTTTTTACGTATGGTTACGTTACGTATAGTACGTTATGGTTCATGTTTCAGACCCATGTGTGAGGAACTGTCGATTCAGTGATTTTTACAGAGATCATGTTTCTGTGGGTAAGGAATTGGTATGAAAGCTATCTCTTCAATGAATTATATAAGCCACTGGTAGCCAATGTCTGGTTTCCTTCCGCAGATGTCCTCTTGTCATTTTCTATTGATGCGCTCAAGGATTAGCCATCTATTCAGCTCTAAAAGGATCAAACTGAACCGTTAATCCATTTCAGGACAGTTCTTCCTCTGGGTGTGCTGTAAGAAACAGTGTTTTGGCTCTCAGAAAATCCCAAAAATTCATTTTCAATAAGACAGCTAGAATGGTTAAGAAGTTTTGAGATAGACAGATCGGATATGTTGAAGGAGCAACCAATCGAGTCAGTGCCGACTTTAGGGCTAGGCAACCGGATGGAAATTGCCACGGAGCACCGGCCGATCTTCAGTGGCGCTTGCCACTTGTAAGAAAAATAAAAAACGTATTAAAAGAACGCCGCGTAATGATTACTACAAAAGGATGATGTTTGCCTTCTGATTTTGAAGTGAAAGAAATTAGCGAGTGATATTAGATCTCTAACCCTGTAAATAAGAGTAATATGGATAGAAGGAACTCGTAAGAAACACAAATAATATCAAAAACAAAGCATGAGATATACTAGATCTACTTCTATAGGGTTTCTCAATTTCTTTATCTCCTGGATTGGGTAAGCACTTAAAAAAAATAAATGAACGGAGTTTGAAAGTTTCTTTCGTATTATCCGTCAATGATTTTTTACCGGGTTCACACGGTTGTTGAGCTGCTGTAATTTTCTACTTCCAACTAATACTTCAGTGTTGTTGATGCTGAATTAATGTCATTCTCGTCGAAGCTAGTGGGTGGTAGTTATGGTCTACTATCTACTGGGTAAATGGTTCAATAGAAGAATACACAGATGTGTTACCGTTTCTAGGGGAAGCATATCACTTAATCTCAATCCTCAAACAGTGCTACCACTTCCATCATCACTTACCTTAACACATTCTCCAAATTTTTGTCTCACTTCTCATTTTCCCTCACTGCAATCAGAATGAGTTTCTAAGTAGAATTAAAGGACCAATGCATTGTTTTCAGGATCTTCAGAAATGTATTTCAAAATTTTAGGGATAGATGAAATAGTTAAACGCATATTACAACTAGTAGTTCTTCCTTGCTTTCCCCTCATTATTCTTTTTATATATTTCTACTCCTTCAATTTAAATCAACAATCCACACTTATGTTCTATTGATCTCTTAATCATTCCCTTTAAAACTGCTTTATTGAACAAAATACTTTTTAATAGATCATTAAACGCTATTCCACAACAATTAACAATTCTAAAATTAAATACCATCTCTTAGTCAATTTCCTATTGTCATGAATAAATTTAAAACAATGGATGCATTTTTTAAATATTTTATTTCATTTATTATATTTTTTGTTAATTGATAATGCTAATTCAATTTGTATGACTGTATTATTTTTTTTATATTCATTCTCAGAGGATTCACAGGAAAAATGAATTTATATTTTAATAACAATAAGCTAATTCTAATTTTTGATACAATTTCTTTCTGTCTGATGTTAGCTATTCATAGATAACTGATACTACCCTAGTGATACAAAGAATATAATTCTATTCAAAAATACTATATTACTGAAGGTAGAAAATATGGTTAGAAATTTTTTTATTGTGAAATCCAGAAAGTGAAAAAGAAAGAAACTCACCTTGGCCCCGAAGCAAGGAATGAAGTCAGAAGATGTATATTATATTTTTTAATTATAAAATAATACAAAATTAACTAAATTTTATGAGAAATGAGTGAGTACAATAATAGGTCTTCTGAGGGGAACATTAATGTATTATTATTAATAATGCTTTATTGAATATACAGTAGAAAATGTAACTATGAAAAAAATACAAAACATTTTACGGCATGGAAATCCGTGTACTAGTGGATTATTAACTCTGAAAAAGCCTAATGAAGGTTCTCATGAAAAAATTATCATTGATTTGAGAAATTATAAATCACCTTTAAATAAATTATATCTATTGTATTATACCTCTTATGGTTCAATTTGACAAACATGCTGTCAGATTATCAAATATTCTCTGTATTGCTGAGGGTGCCAATTAAACAAATAAAATAACAAATTAAGGTTGAAATAATGCAAAGATAAATTTGCACAATATAGATAACTTATAAATACTGCAACTATAACTGGAAATGATAAAAAAGGTTATAATTTCCTCCATTGATTCTAACCAATCACAATGTTCTGTCCAGAAGTGGATTTATTTTTGGAAGATTTACTTTTTTTTTTAACAGGGCAAAAAGCATATAAAATGATGTTGTTTGCCATAACTAGTTATAGTCCAGTAACCTTGTTCATCGTAAGTTGCATTGAATGAGGATAAAAGATTTCTTTTTATTTTCTTGTATGAGAAATGACTGACATGTAAATTCCAAATTTTCGACCTCAGGGCCTCCCCTGGATCACTTTTTAATATCCCAAAAACTGGTATATGTTCGCACTTTTTTGTTTTTTTCCTTTTTATGCATGAAGCAGCATGTTTTAGAGAAACAAACATACTATATATTTTTTAACTAGATTAATGGGTGATAAATATTCAGGACCCAGTCTTTTTCAATTTTTTTTATTTTTGCCAACGTTTCAACCCAAACATGTGGGTCATCTTCAGGGCTGAAAATGTTTTTTAAAATTACAATCAGAGATATAATAGTATGCGACCGCTAATTATAAATAATAAACTATAGTGATTGATGGCACATGAATCTTAACTAATATTGTAATACACATATTAAAATTAAATATTAAAATAGTTATATAAACTAAAAATAAAAAATAATGTATATAATCCATTTATATAAATTTGTAATATTTTCTCTTACTAACCGCGGTTTGAGCACTGAGGTTGTTCAAGTACTGACACATGTTTGGTAGGTAAGTAAAAAGGTAAGGGGTGGAGGATTTCCCAGTTGTCCTTTTTCAGATAGCAAAAGGTAGGTAAACAAAGTTAGAGGGGAAGGGGGGTAACATTTATGTTTGTAGAATATACATAATTTGCTGACAAATATTGCAGACATGTACAATATTCGAGTTATTTCATATGGTTACAGAAATGTGACTATTGACTAGTATTGAAATGAATATAAGCAAAAGGTGCCAATAAATATAAATATAGCTTAGTTTGATAGCGAGTATACAAGGGTTAGATAAATAATTTTTATAATAAAAACAATTTCAATGAATGCAAATGATACTTAGGACAACATATTATACAATATTTATCATAATATAAGTTTGTGTTATATTAAGGATTACATAGGCTATTGTTTCAGAAAGCGGAAAATATTTGAATATGTATTGCAGATCTTTTCTTTGTCTACTTTATGGTTTACCGGATTATTTTTTTCCAAATTAATGAATATAGATTCTGATAGTAGTCGTTTTTGTTCACAGTTCCCAATCACCAAAAACGACTATTATCGGAACGTAACTATAATTAAACAAAAGCCCTGTTCCATGTTCCCTCAGAACAGGGTGGCCACTCTGTCCCAAAAGGTGTCTAAACATGCCGGATTAATGACTTTGATTTGAGTAAGTTTTTCAGTCACTGAGATTCAGCAGTTGGCTTAATTTTGTCATAACTGATCATCTATTAGAGCTGAATAGTCATAGAATAATAAAACAAACAAATTAAAAAAATAATTGGTCTTGGCAATAAAAAATATCAGTAAAGTCAATTTTTTTAAGTCGTTCAAATTCAAATTGAAAATCAAGCATCATTTGTAATTAAACAGTCTACAATAACGAAAAATGCCTTGAAATAAAACATCCAGAGAATACATTTATCTTTCTAAATCACTGATTAATTTTTAATATATGTATGAAACTGTTCATTATAAAATGAACTTCATCATCAAAAAAGAGGCACTGGCGTGTAGGCACCTACAATCCTCAACCACCTCATTCGGTTCTCATAAATGGCATAATTATAGTGATACTCTCTTCATCCGTCTATTAAATATTTCTACCACCAAATAATGTTTCCATCAGTTCCTTCTTATATTTTCGAAGATTTTGGATCTTCTCTACAGTAATAGCAGAATTTTATATTTTTTTCCTCTTCGCTTTTAAAAAAAAATTGTATATCTATGTCTTTTGCTATGATTGGCACCATATCTTAACACCGAAATTAAATTTCTGAGTCGAGGAGAGTTTTGAAAGGTGCGGTAAGCTCTTTTTTTTGCTACCCGCTGGTTTACTAGGAAGAAGATCAAACGCGATAAATAATTCAGCTCATTCTAGCTCAGTTATTTTATCAATTAGCTTATAATATTAGATTCACATAAATCGACACAGGATTTCTATTTCTTATTATTTATAGCCATTCCTATATCCATGTATCCTACTCCTTCAAAATAATAAATTAAATAAATGTTTACTTCACTAATTCTTATGTGGTAGGTTATTGAAGACATTAACATGAAAATTAGCTTTACATTTTCAAGTTTCAAAAATTTCATTTACTTAATTTACAATTTTTGTTTGCACTTGATGTTTGTTGAATAACTTTTTTACTTCAATTTCAGTCTTCTGGTTGCGAAAAGTGATCTCCCCCTCTTCCCTACCTCACCCCTCCTTCAAAATGTTAAAATGAATAAAAATTTACTTCACTGAATCATATAAGAGAGGTTATTGAAGATATAAAGACAATTGCGTATGATCAAATATGAATAATAGCTTAAAAATTTCAAGTTTAAAAAATTTCCAAAACTTTGAAAATCAATATATCAAAAACTATTAAACTTACCGAATTTGTTCTGGTCTTAAATTGTAGCATGTTTAATCTAGTTTAAAAATATTTTTGGTCGAAACCATGCTCCTTCATTGTCAAAATGGGGAGAAAATGAAAAAATATAACAATTTTGGGATTTTTTAAAGTGATTCAAGGGAGGAAGGAGGGGACGCCGAGGTCGAAAACTTGGATTTTTCATCTCGGTCACATTCCATATAAGAAAAAAAAAAGAAACCTACCCCCATTTGATGTAACTTAGCCCCTTCTCTTTTCATAACAAGGTTACTGGGCTATTAAATCAAAAATTCATGAGAAAATAAGTTAAGTACACTTGACACAACGTGAATATTTTTTCATGGTATACCAAAAAATTACTACAGTTACTGAATTTAACGAATGATGTAAGAGCCCAAGAGTTAAACAATGATCAACTTAACATAATTTGAGGATAAGTTGACTTGACTAGATATGGCCAGAGACCAGAGAAGTTTTCTATTTTTTATTTTTTACACATGCTTAAATTTAATAAATATACATGATTTATTATTTCAAAAAGAGTACACATTCTTTAAAGAGTACTAATGGAAATAAAATGAATAAAAAAATTCTATAAAATAAAAAAAAATTCTATTTTGAGGGGGCTTAAGCTTGAGAGTCTTCTCCCCTCCCCTCCCACACTAACCACTAACTCCTAGACAATTTATTTTAAAATAACACACCTCAAAATAAAAGATTACTCATGTAATTTTTATTATTTTTTTAAATTAAAATTTATTTGTTAAGCTTACAGTTGCCCTACATTGACACATTCATAAAAGAAATTATTCTCAAAATATACAACAGAATCATGTTTCAGAAGTGTTATGTTTTTATTTAAATTTTTAACATACCATAATCATTGTTTCTTATCTAGATTAATCATCTAAATTCAGTTGTATCATAAATATTTATATTATTGCAAGAATAAGGCATGAAAAAAATAGTCATGGATAGGAGATAAAATAATTATATATTACAAAAATAAATACTTTTGCATAGTAAAAATCACACAATTTACCTATGGCAGCTTATTTCTTTTATGATAATTGAAACACTCTCTTTCAGAAAATTCAATCATAAAAGCAATACATTATAAAGATTTTCAAAATAAAATACACTAATAATTTACTAATTTCAATAAAATAATATAATAATTTATAATATAAAACAAGTCTTCTACAATAAATATTTATGGCTGTATTTTTTGTTTTGAAAGAAACAAAAAAAAAAATACTACATGATAAAAGAAAAGTAAAAAATATCCTGATGAAGGTAAAATAGAATTATTTCGCTAGTTTCAGTCATCAGAAGTACTTTCATCCAAGATAAATGCCCCTTCATCTTCATATATGCCTTCATGTTTAGCGAAAATTCTCAGAAGTGGACGAAGTTTTAACCACCATTGATGCTTTGGTATACGTTTCCTGGTGTAAAATAAATATTTGACATGTTTAGAAATAGTCAATAAAAAAAATAAAGGCATATATACTTTTAGTGTTGTTTTATTGATTTATCTTCAGACTGGAATGGAAGATAAAATATATACTTAACCTTTAAAACTAACACTTAAATTTTATTGCAAAAAAAAATAAATAAATAAACCTGAGAAGAGTTAGAATTTTTAAAGAAAATATTTCCTTATTAGGGGAAGAGACTTGAAGAAATAGAGAAAAAAATAAGAAAAAACACTAAAAGAAAATAGTCTACCAGTATCTCAAATGAAAATAAAGAAGACTGGAGCAAGTAACTCAAGAATCTATCTTTAATTCATTTCCTTATTTTTTCATTTATTTATTTTTTTGCTTCACTACCGAAGTTATTGTATTGGTATTGGTATTGTATTCGTGCGAGAGGTTAAAAAATTATTTGGCTCCGAAATCGAAAATTACCACTCGCGTGTTACGTTTCAGACATCAAGGTTCAAATTTGGTTCCGCATCTATCTGTCTGTTGTCAAATCGATGTAACGGGCATGTCACCTATTACCGTCTACCTAATTTTCATGAAACTTGCAGGAATTGTGCGGGTTGGTGTCTATATGGTCCCATATCAATTTTATCAAATTACATTCAGCATTTCTGCTTACGCATGAGCAAACGTATTTTTTTTAGATATGCCAATATTCGAGAAACGGCTCATTCGATTTGGCTTAAAGTTCGATAAAAGGTAGGTATTTGTGAAAAAAATAATGTAGTGTCAATTTTATTTAATTCTGTCTATAACTTTCTCTTATATATGCGCAAACATGTGTTCCTTGATACGTCTATATCTTTGGCGCAAATTTGGAGGTAATTTAGGGATTGGTAAACCTTAATTAAATAGGCATCAATTTTATCAAATTCTATCTACAACCCTCTCCCCAAAAATACTTCTGCTTACACAGATAAGGAAATGTGTCATATGACATGCCTATAGTTTGAAAATAGCACATTCCATTTGACTCAAACTTGGAGGAAATTTGGAGAATAGTATAGAAATTAATTAATATGAATTTCATTGAATTCCATTTAATAATTAAAAATACTGTAAATAATTGTTAACAATATAATGACTGTGAAATGTGGAAGGCATTGATCATATGGAGTGGGAGTTAGGTTATTACAATATTTTTTATGGGGTTATAAAATTTTAGGTTATATTCAAAAAGTTAATTTATACTGTATTGTTTGGTCGATTCCAAACCTTAAGAGTATGAAATTTACTGCCGTTACTTAGATTTCATGTAATTTTCAGTAAACATAAGTCATTTTTACTCTGATCTTTTTAAAAAAAAAAAGTCTTATTTGTGATTGTGTTTATTTCTATTGAAATTCAACTAGGACGCCTTGGTTCCGATTTCATCCTTAAATATCAAAGTTGTGTGAACTTCAAGCATTTTTTTTTTATATCCCAGCTTAATTACTTTTGTTCTGACTGAAGAAAAGTATTGGTCTCGTTAATTCCAAACAAACAAAAAGTTGAATTTTTCATATAGATATTCTTGTTTCATCCATTTTACGAGTAAAAAAAAAAACACGCCTATTAAGTATATATCACTACTATTAGTACAAAAGTTCGTATGTAAAAATTTTCAACTTTTATTCTATTAGTGCTAAAGATGACATTTTATAGTCTGCAACTGATATAAGTAGTCTACTATTATGGAAAATAGCAGAGGGCAATAAAATATGAAATCATACTAATAAACCATAAAGAAATATTTAGTTTTTATGCTATCTTGAAAAACACTCAATTTATATATACGGCCTTTTGAACTAACAACAGTAGTGATATGCATGTTCAGGATACACTTTTTTTTTATCACGTATCATCAAATAAGGAATCTGCAAATAGGGAACTCTTTCACATTTTAATATTCGTTAATGGAAAAAATTCGTGGATATTAAACCCACGAATGTTGAGGGGTAGCTGTATTTCCGAATCGACTTCTCCCAGAGATTTTATTCTCATACAAAAAATGTTATATCCTGTATTATAGATATTTTTTAGCCAATGAAAACAGTGAGGAAGCTATACTTACTTTACTTGGCAGACTTTTTTTAATGACAAACAAATTTATTATAGAACAATCCATATAGGAAATTATAATAATAATAATTAGAAACACAATATTTAGAAACTTACTCAAAATTAGTATCTTTTGCAAGCTGAATAACAGGTGTAAATGTAATGTTTCTCGCTTTAAGTCCAAGAACTACAGTAGTTTGGGGATCATTGGTGTAGACAGCACCATTGTTCATGCAGTTTTGACTTTCCTGTTCCAACCATGAATAAGCCTTTAGTGCCAGTTTTATTCCCATATTTCTGTCAAATGGAGAAGAACTACCTCCTTGTTGCATATGACCTGTAATCATATAAATAAATTCTATTTACCTATTTCTGAAATACACCTAATAGCTGAGAACCTGATGCAGTGCACACCATGATGTGATACACTACACCGCACAACTTTCAGTAGAAACTAATTTTTTTTAAAGTTAATAAACTTCAAGAATGTTACTTTAATTATAACAAACCATAAGAATATTACTTTAAATTTTTAGAGAAAAGGAGAGGGAGAGGGGGAATAGAGAGACACAGGAACAATAACAAGTCCAGTGAAGTTCTACATGTGCACTTCCAAGATCACCGATCAAATTGTGTATCTTCTGAATTGAATCACCTATTTTTACTTAGTATACAATATATGGTAATGATTTTTATTTATCGAAGATTAAAAAAAAATAATATGTTAAGAGTTAGAAGTAATGGAGGGAAGGGCATGACTCCTACTCCCTCGCCTCACTCCAGTCTTGTTCCATCCATTGGCCAGGAAGGATGTATTGTTTGTCAGCTGCGGAGAGCTTTCGAGGTAACATCTCTATATTGATTAGGAAAGCATATACTGGATGAAGATCACCTTCAGTTGATGGAGCAGCCTACATTAGGAGCTACCATAAAGACAGTGCAATCAAACAGTACCTTATACATTATTTTATAATAATAGATTATTAAACATAAATTTTATTTTGTTCATAAATGTTTTATTTATTAAATATAAAATTAAATGTATTGATGTCGTTTATTTGATCCTTAGCATTCACAGACGATGAACCAATTAAGCCCTTAGCGTCCATTTAATTGATAATAACAAATAATAATTCAATTCATATTTTCAATATAATCACAACATTTGGCATCCAAACAAGGAGAGAAATTTATATATATAAATTTTTTTTTAATACTTTCTATTATCTATTTATTTGCATTTTGATATAATTTTCACAATGTGGCAGATCACGGAAAAGAGTATTGAGAAGGGTAAAGATCTTTCAGTATGCTTCGTGGACCGATGCAAGGCTTTTGACCAGGTTAGCAATATAGATGTTGCTGATACTCTGGTAGAGAAAGGAATAAACAACAGACTCAATGGGGCTGCAAGCCTCATCTCGAGAGTTTGAAACAACCCAGGGCATACATCATGCTTGCAGCCCGAGTCCTCTTCTTCTTTAAATGGTTCTTGATTTGGCGTAGTGAAGAGAAATAGAGAAGATATGAAACTTTCACTTGGGCCACAGGAACATGGAGCCTACCCTTTATTCCCTTTTGTATTAACTGACAACCTTGTCATATTGACCCGTAATGACCGTGACCTACAAAACAATATTAATTTCCTCATGAATATGAAAATCAACCGTGAGAAAACAAAATGCATGCGCATTGGCAGGAAACCTCACAGCGTTATGAGGGTATTGAGAATGGATGGTAAGAGTTTGGAGCAGGTAGATAGTTTTAAATACTCGGGCGGGAGCTCAACTCAACAAAAGGGAATATGGACGAGGAGGTAAGGCAACGAATAGAAACAGCAGGATTTTCTGCTCAGCAAGGAGAGGCTTTCTAAACCAAAGAGAGGTATTAAAGAAAACGAATACTTCATAACGAACGTGTTATATAGATTAGTGTCCCTTTCAATTCTAACATACTCTTCTGAGTCTTGGACGCTCACTTCAAAGCACAGTAGTCAAATCCAGTCCCTAGAGATGTGATGCCTACGAAAGGTGGAGGTGAAGACTAAGCAAGACAGGATTCGTAACAATTTCATCTGTGTCAACCTTGGGATCAAGCCAGTGGTAACCATTCTAGAAGAAAGCAAATTAAGATAGTTTGTCCACCTTCTACAGATGGATTGGTGCAGAATAGCAAAGAAGACCTGCGTGATTCACCAAGAGAAGATTCTGAATCTCCTGGGAAGAAAGCGTGTGAAATGCGTTCAAAATGCGAGGGCTGGAATGAAAGAGGAGACAAGAGCTGGTGCAGGACAGGTTCATCTGATCCAAGCTCTACAAATGGCAACCTCACACCACTTAAGTGCTAAAGAGGAGATAGAATATGATGACGATGTTTACATAATAAATTGATTTCATCCTACATCCTTTCTTCAATATTAAACACAGAACCGGCGAATGTTCAACATTACGAGATTTCTTCAACCTGTAAAAATATTTTCCCACTTTTCTTGTTAATTATCAAATCATTTCATAGATTGTAGTTCATATCATAATTTATTACTAATAACAATGAGAAACATTTAATTATATTTGATAAACAAATTAAAGGTATGATATGATAAGAAATTAAAAAGATGTGTGGACAATATGCAAGTGTAATTTTTCTGCTATTAATTTCTATTATCTGAAAAAAATAGATACAATATTCATTGATCCTTGTTGAGCATGAGATATTATTAAGATAATGATCTAATAACTGAAAATTAATTACATATTTCAATAATTCACTACCTATAATATTGCTCCTTGCAGTGAATACACCTTTCCCTTCTTCAGCGAACAATCTTGTCATGAAATCGCAGTTATAATTATCATTACACTTCTCATTTCGTATAATAAGGCCTCTCTGTACTCCTTCGGCCATTTTTGAGGCCATATGGTACAAATCTTTTTGTAAATCTTTTATTGAAAAATTTTCTTCATAAATGTAAGCAGCATCGGCACCTCCTGCCAAACCTACGATAATAAATAATTATATAACTAAATTGAGGCTAAATATACTGATTTTGGAGATGTAACATCTAAGATCTTATAACATTTAAGATCTAGATGGCACTTAAAAAATCTAGAACCGCTACTTTATGAACTATTTTGGCCAATGAGATGGAAGATAACAAAGTGCTACTATAAAAGCTACGGAAGATAATAAAAGCTACAATTAAAAAGTGATTTAGTTCAGTTCTAATTAGTCCCAGGATTACTTTCTAGTGGCGCTAGTTCAAAGCAGGCATAATGCAGGGTTTTTTTTGTCTTCCCCATACTTGCCTTTAAAACTATACGTGCTTTTCCCAGGCCAGGATTTAAAAGACTCCCCCGGCACTGGGTTACTATTTTTTACCAATGTCTTATACATCAGGTTGCCAGGCAACGGTGGTACTATGCAAAGGCGTTAGCCCGTTAGGCCACCCTGCCCTCCTAATCCAGGTTAAAATTTATTTTGTGGAGTGCCCATGGAATGAATTCTTGACCTTTCCACTCTGGTTAGAATATATTTGGTGGTACCTCTAGAACCCATAGGCCAAAACCAGGAATAGCAAGGTAGGAAATAGCTAAGGGAATTAGCAGCTAGTGAGTGGATTCCAGTATTATTGAATTCTTATGAAGAGGGCTATTATTAGTGTTAAGGTTATATTTTTTTGTCATGTCAGGAATATTTGTATTTATTAAATATTAAATTCAATAAGCAATGAATTATAAAATCTTAATTTAAGTTGCAAATTATTAGTAACAATAATCAAATTTTTTTTAAATTTAATTGTTGCTGCTGCAAGTCAAAACTACTTGAAAGACATTACCATTCAGATATAATTTCTAAAAAGTTTATTTTACAACTACTTTTTTACTTTTTATTTGGTCTACAATGTATAAAGCTAGGAATCTGGAATAAGTAAAGTTTTATTTTGTTAAATAAATACTTTAGTGCATAGCAATAAGATATATGCCACTGAAGAAGTAGTAAATTTGTCCAGATAACAAAAATTAATATCATCAGGATGGCTAACAGACTGTTAAAGAATTGTCATAAGCTTGAATATAACTTCTGCCAAAACTTGATTCTCTGAAGAAATATTACATGTAACATAATACTTAGCATAATATAATATTACAAACAAATGATGTATGTATCATAATCAATAACATCATATACTTTTTTCCTAATGTTCTAAAGTACACATTATTTGTTACACAATAAATTGTTACTACAAAGTACTTTGTGTTTCTAGTGTTGTCTATGTATACTAACTTGGAACCCACATACTAGACTTAAAAGACAAGAACTTAACCGACGATTTGGCCAGCTATACAGACTACTTAACAGAAAATCCAATCTATCAATAGAAAACAAACTATTAATATACAAGACCATACTCAAACCCATCTGGACCTACAGACTTGAACTGTGGGGGACAACTAAATTTTCGAACATCAAACGCATCCAATCCTTTCAGTCTAAAGTCCTCCGTATGATAGTCAATGCTCCTTATTACGTTACAAACAAAACCCTACATCATGACCTTTACATCCCTTATATCCTTGACGTTATTTCATCCCGATTCTCAAATTTTCACATGAACCTAATCCACCATCCTAACCCTTTAGCACAATCCTTATCTAGCTCCAGTCATCCCTACAACCCTCCTCGAAGGTTGAAACGGCAGTGGCCTCGAGATCTCTTGTAAAGACGTCACTGGAGTTCTGGCAATGGCCAGCTTCTCCACTCAAGTCATGAGTGTTTGTGGTTTTAGTGCCCTCTCTCAGTCTCCACCGGACTGGTAATGCCGGCGACGCGGTTGAGAGAGAAGCACTGGGATCTCTTAGAGTCTCGCTTTGTCCTTCACACGTGGGGGAAAGGGCTGGACTCGGAGATCTCTTACCTAATTGTAAATATTGTATTTAAGTATGAATGTTTTTCTATTTATTTCTGTTACTTATAATTTATTTAATTTCTTTACGAATTTCTGTATTTCATTTAATTTTAACTCTAAGTTACATTTCCTTGGTTTATTTTAGTTTTTGCCTTTGTTATATAGATTTTTATATTTTTTATTTTTTTTTTTTTTATTTAATTTTATTTTATTTTTTTATTTTTTATTTATTTTTTTTATTATTTTTTTTAATTATTATTATTATTATTTTTTTTTTTTTATGTATTGTATATATGGTATGAATGTGCCTCACTCAGCCTTAGTACTCAGTGCCCTTAAGTGTGGCAAAATGTATTATTACTCAATAAACAGATAAAAAAAAAAAAGTGTTGTCTATGTCTTCTAATTAATGATTTGAGTGTTAAATCACACTAATTAATATAAATAACAGCTGGTATTAAACTTTTGACTGGCAGTGAATGTTACTAAAGAATAATTTAATACAATAACCTCTCAGACAATAATCTCCTACAGATGCTGACCAAGAATAATTAGCCATTCTTCAAATACTTTATCTACGGGATTTTTTTTTTGTTTTGATCTTGGAACACGACCAGCTCGTGGAAGGCCACCAAAAAGAGGTGGAACAGAAGCAAATGGAATCCACTCTGGATACAAGGAATGAAATGAATATCAATATAGAATGAAACTGGAGGGTGAAGTCTGTATATCTTGAAGAAAGCGACTGACAACATGCATGCATAACCAGCCTAATATATTAATATTATCAAAATCCGTGTTCGCGAAAGGCAGGGAAGGGAAAAACGCTGTAAATTATTACACAATGGTTTATTATTTCCAAACAATTATACATCAAAAGTAGCATTACTTTCCTAGTAACATAAAGGAAAATAAATAAAATGTGATTCCTATAATTGGTCTGAATAATTTTTTTTTTTTCATCATTAGTAATTAGCTAGGAAAAATAGACAACATTGCTTCATTTAGTGTAACTCTTTCAAAAAATAGAACAAAGGATATAAGCTTCTCAGTAGAACATATGAAAAATATTTAGAAAACACTATTAATACAACAAATTGTCCGATTTTAACAAATTTTTTTTTATTTTTAGGAGATTTTGTAAACTTTTAAATAAACATCTAATATCTTCATGATGTATTTAATAATAATGCTCTGATTTCAATGAAGCTTTTTTTCATTTTTTATAGAATTTAAATATCTTTGAAACATCTCATTATAAAAATCTTTAAAAAAGTTTATACTTTTGAGTTATTCAGTAATCAAATTTTATCACCTCTCGTATCTGTTTTATAAATTTAAAGGGTTTTGAAAGAGAAGAATTTAGCCAAATTTCAAAGAAATTGGTACATCCGTTCAGGCAATATCCTATATATGACGCAGGTCTTTCAGCCGCGATCTTGAAAGGGAAGTACTTTTCGGTTAAGTATGTTCTATACTTATACTTGAAGGGCATCAAAGAGAAGATATAGTGAAGTTTCATTGAAATTGGTACATTTGTTTAGGCACTTCAGTCTATACCAACACAGGTTTTTTGGCCGCCATGTTGAAAGAAAGGGCAGATAGTAATGTTGAGGTAGGAGGATCATAATCGGGTGACCTCTGACTTTGTTTTCAAATCTGAAAAGTAGACTCGGAAAAAAGCCGCAAACGGTGAACAGATAAATTTTTTTTTTTAATTTTGAGGGGAGTTAAGTTTTTGAATTTGTTGGTCTATTACAATGGTTCATTATTGAAAATAATAAACCAATACAACAAATGGTTTTGTAGATGATTTAAAAATATTTCAAATGAATACCTAAAAGGAGACTTATATAATAACTTTTGAGTTATTCAAAAAACTAGAATTGTCCAGGTTTTAGAATTAAATTTTTTAACCACCCAGACAACAATCTTTTTCAAACACAACCTTTTAACCTATCTACAACATAAGAAAAAACATTATGTAAAATACCAGCTTCAGAGTATGTGAGCAAATGGAATCTTAATTAATAGATTATTCATACATAAACAGTAAATATGGAAGAACTATGACATAATATTACCAGCAAGAGTAGCTAAATAACCACAATATCCTCCCATCGTTTCAACAATAAATACTCTCCTTTTTGTACCTTGAGCAGATTGACGAATAGTGTCTGATATCTAAAAATTAAGAGAAAATATTATTTCCTAGGAAGGTTACTGCACTTATCTATAAAAATAATAATAATAAAAACATCTCTTAATATTACTCATTACTAGAGATGAGAAATTCGATTCTTTTAACTGAATCGATTCTCAACAATTCAATCATTGTGAAAATTTGATTCTTATTGAATTTCTTTGATTGATTCTTTTAATATTTTTTTCTTTAAACAAAAAAAAAACTTTTTATTGAGAAAAAAAAAAACAGTAACAAACATTTTCAAACCTTCCGGTTATTCGGGCAAAAGCATTTTTCTTTTTTTTTTGTCCAGAATATCAAAAAATAATAACTATGGTATTAGACCAGATATAATGTATCATAATTTATAAAAATCAAAAGTTGCTTCCAGTAAAGTAGGTCAAGTAAATTTTTGTTTTGAAAAAGCAATTTGGATTCGTTTTTAAAGTTTTTTGAAACTCTTAAATACGAATTTATATAGAAATAAAAAAAAAAAAATTTTTAATATTTGATTTTAATAAATTTTGGGTTACATTCCTTTTTAAGCTAAAAATTATGAAAAAATTTTCAAACATTTATATTGTATTTCTTTAGTTCGAATTTTTTCAGGAAGTCAGATTTATACCACTTCCTGTAGCATATAGAGCCCTAAATCTCAAGTGATTTTCGTGTAAATTGGTAGAGTAAGTAGTCTTGAAGTTATCACTATTGTTCAGAGATGGGCATATTTATATTCAAAATATAAATAAAAATACCATTTATATTTATGGCACTGTTGAATATATTTATATTCATTAAAAGCAATATAAATACAGATGATGTGTATTCACCGCTGCAAATATAAATATGGCCATGTTCACTATTTTAAAAGAGAATACTGCTGTATTTACAGTTGTAAAAGTGAATACGGCTGTATTCACGTTTATTAAAATGAGTATGCTTAAATATACAGAAGTGAACGGAAATATTTTCAGACAACCTTATGAATGAATACTCAATTAAACTCAATTACAAATTAAATAAATATTAATTTCAGACACGTCCAATTTCACTCTCCTAGGAAGTTAAGTTTGGTATTTTCCAAAATAAAATATTGGCCTACTATACTGGAAGTATATTTTGATGTTAGTCATTTATGATATATGAATGAAGTAAATTTTATTTTTTCAAATTTACAAAGAAATACAAATTCTAATAAAGAAATAAATTTTTTTAAAAAGCTATGGTAGACCCATCAGCTTGAGTGACAGATTGAATAACAATTGCATTTGGTATATATTCTTTTTTTAAAGCAATGGCAATATAATAATAAATATAAAAACTATTATATAATAATAACATAAAAATAAAAAATCAGTGCTTCAAATCTAGCATTAATCATATTTAGAAGTTGTAGCCCTTTCAACATAATTGTAAAGTAAATTATAATTCTTTCCATTTAGCAAAGCTCTGACAATAATAAAATGGAAAATATCTTCTGGTTCCCCAAGGAACAGTTGGTGCTATCATTGAGGCTTCAGGGTTTCCTGTTAGAGTTTAGTGTTCAGTTCTCGCCTTCATCACTGTACTCATCACCTGCAAGCTGTTTGCATCCTTTATATATGAAAGTTGGTTAGCTTCAAATTTTAAAGTTTTATACTATGAGTGATGTTGCGCCTTCACTTATCTTTCCCTTAATATTTTTTTTCCCGACATTTCTACAGCTAACAAAATATCCATTTTCTTTGTGTCTCTGGCGAATCCAAAAAGTTCTGAAACGCAATTCCAATCCCTGTACAGACCTAATCGAGATCGCTGACCCAAGCTAATCTTCGGTGTTAACTGCTTTGTTAACCTTTGGTCTGGCATATTGACAACTTTATAATGGCCTAATTTATGATATATTATAAATGATCTAATAACATAGTTAATATTTTTTTTCTTATTTCACAAAAAAAAAAAAAAATTGATATGAGAAGGAGTTAGTCGGGGGTGCGGTCAAATAAATAATAAATTAAAATATATTAATTATTTTAATTTTTGCCGACGTTTTGACCCACCTTGCAAGTCGTCTTCAGGGCTACAAAAGATACAAAACATGTTGAAAATAAAAAATAAATATAAGTAGATATAAAATAGGAAGAAGTTGTCAGATACAGAAATAAAAGGTGGTATCAGAGATATAGTGGGTGACAATGTAGTTAAATATTAAGAATTATATATGTAGAAGATACAAATAAATGGAAAATAATTATGATTAAAAATAAAAATAAAGGAGAATATAGCATGTAAGTTAAAAGTAAACAGATTGCGATAAAAGATAAGGAATAAGTGTATAACAAACTAATAGAGATTACATTAGATAACTGTGGGTTTACAGATAAAGAAAATAAATACATGAATGTTAACGAATAAATGAACGTTAACGAATAAACAGATTGAAAATTGAATAAGCATTGTTACAGTAAAGTTAAAATAAGGATAAGATAACATAACTACTTAACTTTACTGTAACAATATTTATTCAATTTTCAATCTATTTATTCGTTAACATTCATGTGTTTATTTTCTTTATCTGTTAACCACAGTTATCTAATGTAATCTCTATTAGTTTGTTATACACTTAATCCTTATCTTTTATCGCAATCTGTTTACTTTTAACTTACATGCTATATTCTCCTTTATTTTTATTTTTAATCATACTTATTTTCCATTTATTTGTATCTTCTACATATATAATTCTTAATATTTAACTACATTGTCACCCACTACATCTCTGATACCATTTTTTATTTCTGTATCTGACAACTTCTTCTTATTTTATATCTACTTATATTTATTTTTTATTTTCAACATGTTTTGTATCTTTTGTAGCCCTGAAGACGACCTGCAAGGTGGGTCGAAACGTCGGCAAAAATTAAAATAATTAATATATTTTAATTTATTATTTATTTGATCGCACCCCCCGACTAACTCCTTCTCATATTATATCAACGGTCAACCATCTCTACATCATTAAAAAAAATTGATGTCTATATAAAATTGTAATTTTAGCAAAGTTTTAAGTTGAAATTATGCTTAGTAACTTCTCCATAAAATTCACTTTTGTTTGATATCTCATTCAACAAAATCCATCGCTTCTGAAAACCAGAAAAGGGATCTCTACTTTCTTATTAAATATACAGTAGATCGATGCATTAAACAGTAAATACTTAAATCAATAAAACTTACCGCTACAATCTCATTGAGAGCAGTGTCACAACCAAGTGAAAAATCAGTGCCAGGCACATTGTTACTAATGGTAGCAGGAATAACAACAATCGGTATACAAAAAGGTTTAAAATTATCTCTTTGATATACAAAATCAAGAGCAGTCTGGTAGGCCTAAAAAAAAAAAAAGAAAAAAGAAAAAACAGAAAATATGTTTTAAAAAATATAATATACAGATTGTACAATTATGTTTAAGTAAACTTAGGTCATTAACACTAGTTTACTATTTCAACAAATTAAAACAAGAAAAAATGGGGAAGCTTAAATAAATGTGAATTTTCTATAATAAATTTAATAAAATATCAATAGTTATAATATAATTATAAAGAGATATAAAACATTTGTATAGAGTAATGCTGTAGTTACATTGGACCAGTAAGTAGTACTAAACGATGGCGAACGAGCTGTGTACTATCCGTTTGAAAAACAAACACTTACAGTGGCTACATCTTGTACGATTGTCGGAACAATCACATCTCTGATTTCCAATCCTTTCATCTTTAAATGTTTAACATTGTCCAATGTATGTATTAAATAATAGATTAATTTCATAAAAATTGTTTTCCATGTTTTTCAATTAATAAATATTATTTATTCGATAGATAATCCAAAAGTAATTAAAAACTCAGTATAAAAAAGACAGTATAATAAAAATAAACTTTATTAATGGAAACGAAAATATGTAGTGACGTTTAATAGGATAACCAGTAAGTAAATAGAATTGAACATAAAAATATTATAATTATTTCGTAGTTTCATTCTTTTTGTTTTTTAATATTTCAAAAAATAAAATAAAAACTTATATTTTATATATATTATAAGAATTATGATTATTACTATAATTTTAATACAAGATCTAAAATTAAAAACATTATTTATATGTCTGGTAAGGTATGTTAATTCCAAACATTTTCTAGTTTTATTATTAGCTGCACTATTTAATATTTTTTATAAACAAAATCAGGTTTATGGTTATTTTAAACACTACTTCTAGTTAGGGCTGTGTATAATAATTTTAGCATTGGTTATAAGTTACTTCAATCTATTTGTTTAAATTCTGTTCTATTCTTCAATATTTAATATTTTTGCAAGCAATGGATACATTTTACACATAAATATATATGAATATATACATACATATATTCTTTTTTTATGTTTCCAGTTGAATTGGGTATATATGATAGTTCATAATATGTCTGCAGAATTCCATATACTTTTACTGTATTATCATTTATGAATTAGTTTCCGAGGATAAAGTTTGTTATTTAATATTTAAAATACCTTGTCTTTATTAATTAAACTTGAGAAAAGTTGAAAACAACTGTTGGTTTACACAATGATTATTCTTTATGTTGACTACCTTTTAGTTAATAATTTATTAAAAATAAAGAATACTTGGTATTTATTTTTTATGTTTACTAACTAATAGGAGAATCCCTAACAAACAAAAAATGTATGGTATTTTAATTAAAACGAATCAAATGGAAATATATACTGTGCAAAAATGAATAGGGATAATCCTTCATGTTGACTATCTTTTAGTTAATAATTTATTAAAAATAAAGAATACTTGGTATTTATTTTTTATGTTTACCAACGAATAAGAGTACCTAACACAAAATAATAAGAGATCAAACAAAAAATATATGGTATTCTAATTAAAACGAATCAAATAGAAATATATACTGTGCAAAAATATATAGGGATAATTCATTTTTGCACAGTACATATTATTAAAATATCAAATCTCAATTGAGTAATCGCATGTAATAGTTAAGAAATCATTATTGGCAAATCAAACAAAAATATTTTGAAGTTATAAATGTAAATATTTAAGCAATTAAGATTAAATGGCATTGGATATCAGCGTTGAATGTTTGTTGTTGAAGCTTTAGCCTTGCTATTTTTGTAAACAATGATAAATTATAGTTAACTTGTGTTAATTGCCAATATAAAATCCACACATATCAGTATTATTGTTACAAAATATCTTCCGGAAGGTCAGTACTCTAATTCGATACTGACTCTTAACTGTGTAATATTAACTGTTTAAGGTGGCTTATAAGAAGTGGTTTAATTTTTAAAAACTGGAAAAACCAGAAAGCTCATTTCACAACTGAAGTGTCATTTATTCTATAAATGATTTTTTTTTTTTTCATCACAAGCTGCGATATAAAACCATTATGTTACGTACAGTTCTTTAAGGATGCGAAACGTGGCCGTTTAGATTAAGGAATGAACAACTTCTTAAGGTTTTTGATAATAAAGTATTGCTTAGAATATTCGGAACGAAGAAGGATGAGTTAACAGGAGAGTTAGATGGTTACAAAATGAAACTTTATCTGGTTAATATAATTGAGGTGTTTACATCGCGCCGAATCAAATGGGCTTGTATAACTGTTGGGCTTAGTAAAGAAAGAATTCCGAGGGGTAGACCAAAGCGAAAGTGGGAAGATTGCATTAAAACCAATCTGAAGGGAGTGGGTTAAGACAACGAATGGTGAAGGGAGGTGTGTAATAAGCGATTTGTGGTGTCGGCATCGAACCTTCGGGTTTGCTAAGGCTATTATTCTATTCTAATTCTGATTCTATAAGAAGTAATTATGCTAAAAGATCATATACTTCTGTACAATATATTTTATTAAATAATTACCTCAAAACCTCCAATAATCAACAAGCCCTGAATATTATGAGCATTCAGCTGTTCAGCAATTCTTTGAAAATGACCTCTAGGAAGTGTTCTTTTTGTACCAAGCAGCGCACCTCCTTCTCCAACCCAGCCAGTTACATCTGACCACTTCATTTCTTGGAACTACAAAACATAAGATATCATTTCTGTACTATATAAAAAGTTTTTAGTGACTCATATTTTATTTTATTTTAATATTAGGAAAGTCTGAGATTACAGTAGCTCTCCTATCAGCTCTGTAATTAGCACTAATTATACAGCTGGTCATTTAATTACATATGTTTAACATCCTATTGTGTTCTAATACAAAAAAGAGATTTACACCATGCTGCCTTCATTACAGTATTGAGCTCCTGTAGTTGCCTGATACAAAATAAAGATTTTAGACTTAAAATTTGTACAGAAAATGGTATTCATCTGGAGGATGGACATTTTCCATTTTAATATGATATGAAATGGTTTTTAATAATATAATAATATATTATATAGTGATATAATCATAATTATTATGAATGGAAAAGAAAGCACAATAACATACAATGAAAATGTTAGAAAAAACAGGCTCGAATTGATGTCGAGCTTATATGAAGCTTAATAAGGACAACATGAATATATAATATGGTTACAAATTGGCAATAAGAATAATTATAATAATATAAATTTCCAATAAGGTCAATGTATAATATATATTTTAAAGAAATTAAACATTTGTCCGAACTGTGGTTTCATTCAGATTATTTTATGTTGATAAAAAATAATACAGTCTGAACTACAGAATTCATGTAAATTACAGTTAAACAATTAAAGCAAGGAGTACTACAATCAAATGAACAATTGTATAATTTATAAAATGAGGGTTGGTGATATTTGTAAAACAGTTGTTAAAATTAATAACATTTTTTTTTTATTAGGAGTTTCCACTAATAGTGGGTTTCTTTCCTTAACCTAAAGAGCTTGGATGGCTTCTTTCCATAATGTCCTATCTAAGGTCCATTTTTCCCATAGATCATGATCCATCTTGGATTCCTCCGCTTCGTTAACCCAGGTCTTCCTCGTCTTCTTCTTTTCCTAGTTTTCCATAAGTGGACTTCTTTGGGTAGTCTTCCTTCAGGCATTCTTTTCAAATTTCTGTACCACTTCAATCTCTTTCAGAATGGTTGTTTCTTTTAGCCTCCAACTTTTCTCTGATGGTCATATTTCTCACTTTACCCATTCTGGATATTCCCGCCACTCTTCTCCAGTACTCCATTTTGATGGCTAGAAGTTTCTTCCTTAGGTTGCTTTTTATGGGCTAAGTTTCTGACCCATATGTCTTAATACTCAGTACTATACTATTGTTGAAAACACTTAAAAAGTTTTAAAAAACTTCATTTCAAATAAAACAGGATGTTATTTTCTTATTTTGAGGGAAGCTTTAACTTATTAATTAAGATGTCAATAAAATTTTCTTTGATGCAAGCAATTGTTATATTTGTTAACCTATCTCATAACCACATATTCTACTTGTTAACCTATCGAGATTTCTTTCCCATCCTCAGAACTCTCCGTTGCATTCAATTACTACTTAAGTTAATTTCTACTTGGTATGTGTGCTCTTTTGTCTTAGTTTTATACATTTTTTCCATAAGTGTTACCTGGATCAAATAAATATCTTTACATAAGAGAAGTAGTTTACTCAAGATACTGTAATAATAAATGCATGATTATATTTTTAAAAAAACTAAAATAAAAACATGAATACTACGAATAATATTGTATCTATATAAATCAATATTATAACTATATAAGAATTCTATCTGAATTATTATATCTATATAAGTCAAACTATTATAACTAGTCAAATAAGTTTTGGTTTACCAATTTTAAATATTCATCCTTAAACTTTAACTTAAACCTTAACTTGAGTCAAGCTCATTTGCTCACCTCTCCATTAATTAATCCATCAATTCCATCATGTATGCCATAAATTTTAGAGTTCTTAAATATCCCTACACGTACAAATGTCTGCACAGCAGAATTCATACCACAAGCTGGTGCACCAATATTCATTACAGCAAGATTAAGGATAGGCTCCTAAAATCATATAAAAATTTTCCTCTTTAGATAAAAAATAATACCATATTATAACCTTTACTACCACAATGATTTGGCTTGATGTGGTATTGAAAAGACTTCTGAATATTATTTTCAATAGGTAATTGATAAGCATAAAGAAAATCAAATAAATCTAAGTTAATTCAAATAATATTAGAACGGTCAACCTACTCTATATCAAATAATATTGTATTTATCACAAATATTTTAACCTAATTAATGAATCACAACAATGAAATACATTGTCATCAATGATATAAATAATTTAGAAACTTAATAAATAAATTATTATTAAGTTAAATAAAGGTCTCAACATAACACCTCGAATAGACTACCTAGCAACTATAGTTGCTGAAGCCATGTTATTTAGAGGGAACCTTTTGAGACACCCCGCGACGATGACTTTACACAAACAATGTATGCAGTGTATTGTGAAGTATAAGGGAGATCAGAAAGTAATGACGTTTCTGAGCATGTCACTATTTGATTGTCATTTGGCAGCTCATTGTGTACATCTAAATTGTGGCAAAAGACATTTTAATTTGTTGCAATTTTTGGTGAAATACCCTTCCTGATATACCAGAAGAAGTACATATTGCCAATACATGCATTTTGAATTTCGCAAAGGGTTGAAGTTAGCAACAGTTGCTACCAAAAACATTTGTGTGGTTATCCAAATGCATTAGACGCCCTTACATGGCAAAGGTGGTTTTCAAGTTCAAATTCGGTAATTTTGATCTTTCCGATTCGTACCAATCAGGAAGACCAATTAGATAATAACGTGTTAAAAGCAGAAGTCAAAGCAAAAAATCAAGGAATTGTCAAACAGTCTTAACCAACCTTGGTCGACAATCCAAGAACAATGCCAGCAGATTGGGAAACCCCCATATGCAACTTATCGCTTCAACGGCACAATACAGAAGTGTTTTTTTATCGCTTAAATACCAGAGATGAAAAATGGGCCTTGTATGATAATAAGGCCAGTGGCTCTCTCACCAACACAAAAGAACAAAAGAATCACCACGAAGTACTGTGCTAAGCCAGGTTTACACCATAAAATGGCCTTTTTGTGTGTTTGGTTGAGTATTCCCAACATTACCCATTTTGAGGTGCTGAAACCTGGACAAACTGTGAATACAGACATTTATTGTGAACAAATGGATCGTGTAAAATCAATCTTTTAGTGAAAAGTGGCCAGCGATTGTCAACAGAAAAGGCTGTATTCTGCAACACAAAAATGCAAGACCGCACTGCGTAAGACGAACCCTGGAAAAATTTAATGAATTATGGTGGGAGATACTGCCTCATCCATTATATTTGTCCAATGTTGCACTATCAAATTTTCGTTCGTTCGGATTGTTTCAACACGTTCTAAGAGGCAAAATATTTGCAAATTTGAATGATGTCTAAAATGCCATCTCTATATATTTTGCTCAAAAACCAATTGATTTTTATCGACCCTGCATTGAAAATGTGCACAGTAGATAGAAAATGGTTGTTGGTAATGAGGGTGATTACATCAATGATTAAAAACTCGTGTGAAATTTATATATTTGAATTTAATGTAAGAAAACGACATTACTTTCTGTATTTAATATTCAGTAATTCTTAAAACATATTTTTAAAAATTATCTTACCTCTTTATTCGTTTTAACCTTTCCTTCTCCTTGATTTAATAGTAAATAAGTATCAAGATTCCGCCTGAAACTCCTGTTGACAAAATGTAATAATGATAAAGAAAAAACTACTACTAAGTTAATAATTAACATTCAAAATTTATAATTTAATAGTTATAGTAATAGCAATAGCAAAACCTATATAAAAAAGGAGCAATGATATTAATTAAATCTGTGATTAATTAATTAAACGACAGTGCCAGGGAAATGAACTACAAATAAATTTACATTTTATAGGTCTAGCGTACTTCAGAAGAATTTACAACAAAATGGTAAAGTGGTCCACATAGGTTAGCCAAAAACCTTTGATATAACAAATTAAAATCAAAATCATCTTGATGGAAATAAAAATATCCCTTTAACTACAGTAATCAGAGCTGGATAATACTCGGTAAAAAATTTAATATAAAAGATAGTAAAATATACAATATGAAAGAATTTGATAATTAACTAAAGGAGAAATAAGAGATCGTAACGGAGAGTAGTTGTAATTGAGGATCTAATGGAATACGAACATTTTCATAAATGCTATTGTTGGTATTATTTCATTGTATAGATTACAGTGACATAAGTATTAAAATTTGAATACATAAAGGTACTTATACAAATAAAAATACCCACAATAAAATATAAATAAATATAATTATAAATATAATATAAATTATATAAATATATAATTTTTACTTTCTCTTCCCCTTTGTCTGAAAATACTTATTTCTGCTAAGAAGGGGATGGTAAGTGAAAGTTTTGTGAAGCGCGCACTGCACTAGATTTTTCTTCTTTTTTTTAAAGTATTTTATTATTTCAGAGCTTGGTTAAATTATGGAGCCAAGAGCAATTGTCAAACTGTCAATTTTATCCTTACAAAGCTGGCTAATTTTCAATCAAGAGAGGTTTTAATGAGCAAAGTGAGGAATTGCATAAGGTTTATTCAGTTTATGAAGCCAGCAACTATACTTATTTTTAAATATACACACTCTTTGGTACTACAGGCCAATGGGGTCATTGGCCTCCTTGACAAATCTTTGCCAGGTGGGTTTACTTGTGCCAAAGTTCACCAGTAGCAGATGTTGGAAGTAGGTTGTGAGCATCCCTGGTAACAGTGTCCTCCCATCTGAGCAACGTGTGTGTGCAACGTGGCCAGCCCCACATTTTCCACCGATAACTTTATGTCCGTTAACCAAGGGGGGGATGTAGAACAACAATGGTGCTGCTTAAAATCCTGTATGATGGAAACTGCAAGGGAAGTTTGCGGCTTACTCAAAATATCTAATAAACAGAAGTGCACAGAGTGGTGGAATGAACAAGTACTACGTTTTCTTCAATCGAAGAAGAAGGTGTGGAAAGCTTATCTTGAAGACAAAACAACTGGAAAACTAGATGAATACCACCAAGCCAGAAATCAATGAAAAATAGCAGTCCAGCAAGCGAAAAGAGAATCATGGGAAAGATTTGGAAAGTCTCGATGAAGAAGCATTAAGTACCGGGAAAGCATTAAGAAGTTTTGGAGTAAAGTAAAGACATTAAGTAAGCCAGGGAGAAATGTCAAAGACTAGTGGCACCATGGTCACTGAAGAATCGAAAATTCTTGAACGGTGAAAGGAGTTCAAGCAGAAACACTTCTCAGGAAGAGGATCCATTGATCCAGAAGAACATCTGGTAGGAAATAATATTCTGAAAAGTCTAAAGTTGTTGAGGAAGAGGATATAGAATATATCATCCAAAAAATTAAAATAGGTAAAGCGGCAGGAAGGGATGGCATATCTCCCGAAATAATAAAATTTGGAAGACAAGTGTTAATTAAATTTCTCCAACAATTCCTCCAAAAAATTAAGACTCAGAGTTGAGAACCAAATAGAGCAAATAAGCAGGCTTTCGTCCGGGGAGGCAGACTCAAGATCACATTTTCATGCTAAAAAGCATCGCAGAGAAAGCATGGGACAAGAACATATATATGGCATTTCTGGACCTTAAAGCAGCATTTGACTCTGTTCCAAGACAAGAAATAAGGAATCCTTTGGCAGCAAAAAATGTCCCAGCTGATCTTATCACAGCAATTAGATTGACTTATAAGGCAGCCAAAGGACTTGTAAGGATTAGTAGTAGAGAGTCCAAGCCTTTTCCCATGGAGAGAGGAGTCAGGCAGAGAGACAGCCTAAGTCTTCTCTTGTTCATCATATTTAAGAATGAAATCCATAAAATTTGTAAGCGTCGAATAGCTTGGACGGTCATCGAAAACAGAACATGAGGAATATTATGGTCCAAAGCCTACTATATGCTGACCATGACATCGTTCTCATAGCGGACACGAAAGACAAGGTAGCAGGCCCTTGTGGAATGGCAGGAAGAATTCCTCCACAAAGGTATGATTATCAATAATTCCAAAAGCAAAGTCATAGTCATATCAAGAGATGAACAAGAAGACATCCAGCTGATCTGTAATGTGGAGGAACTTGAAATTGTGCAAGAATTCACCTATTTGGGAACAATTATCAGCAACACGGGGAAGTAGCAAATAGGATATCCAAAGCCAACCCTATCTGGAACAGCATAGCTGGGCACAGGGAAGTTGGCAAGGAAACAAAAGGCACATATACAAGTCGGTATACCTCCCAACCCTCACGTATGGAAGAGAAAGGTGGATAACGCTGGACAAGCAAGTTAGCCATGTGACAGCAGCCGAGATGAAGTTCCTGCGGAGAGCTGTTGGAAAGACCAAGAGGGACCGCATCAGGAATGAACGCATAAGAGAGGATATCTGGAGGAGCAGAGGTAAAGACATTACTGAAAAACTGACAATTGAAGTGATTTGGTCACATTTGTCCAATAGAGGAGAGAGATCAGCAAAAGGTTCTGGAAGCTTGACCCACTGGAGGCCGAGGGACTTCCCCATAGTTTCCTATCAGGAGTATATGCAGCAGATTGGAGAGAAGAGAGACAAAACCCTCCAAGAAATGAGGCGACTTAGTAGGGACCGAGAGACATGGCTGCATTGGATAGAGGCTCCTCGACGCTAGTAATGGCATGAAGAGGAAGACAAAGAAGAAGAAATAAACTGATATATAATAAAAAATAATCATTAATAGAATTATTGACAATAAAAAAGAAAAGGTAATCAACTGAAGAGGACATTGTAGTTTGACAGTGCTATTTCCTATATAATTACTTAAAATTATTCAATATGTGTAATACATACAAAAATAAAATAATATTTACCTCCCTCTAAGCTCAACAGCTAAATCCCAATCTTTATCCTGCATTGCCTTGGCAACTCCTAATGTTCTATCGACACATTTCATGAGAGGAACACGAACAGCTTGGTTTCCATTAAGACTTACAACTATAGCTTCAGAATTAGGAGTAGCATCCATTAAGGCAATGACAGCTTCTGCACCCATCCGACAAGCCTAAAAAAATAAATGAATAATTTTGCAACCTCAAAAATTTATTTATTATTGATTATTGATTTATGTCATAACAATTAATTAAAAATATTTATTTCAACAATTTGTCATTTGGAATTTCTGATTTTCAATCTCTGTCTACAAAATAGCTATTAAAGTACATATTTCAATATGTTTAATAATAATTGATGTTCTCAAAAGTGATTAAGAATTGTTTATTTCTTGAGCGATTTGAAGTAAACAGCTATGATTTAGATAAATATGTAATTCTTTCAACTTTACCAGGCACAATCACATAAAGCTACACTTAGCTCTAAACAACTTTCCATTATTCCTCTATGATTTATATGTTATTTTAACACCTTACTACTTCTTTTAATGCATTTCATCCTATGGTAATGCCAAACGAGTCCAATATTCTGGCTACTCTTGCATGGCACCTTTTATCTAGTCGGCAAGAAAATCCATATTCATACTTAGACCCAGCAACATTTCGTGTATTTTGAAAAAAATATCGACATAATACAATTCGTACAAAATACAAAATCATTAGGAATATTTCACTTACAAGGATCCTATCAAAAGCAGATGGATTTCCTCCTCGTTGTATATGACCGAGAACAGTAATCCTAGTATCTTGCTTCAGTCTTTTCTCTACAATATCTTTTATCATTTCACAAGTGATAGGGTTACCATTTCTATCTACAGCACCTTCTGCTACAATTATTATGTTCAACCTTTGCCCAGCCTCTCTTTCCTAAAATGCAAAAAAAAATGTTCAAACATAATTCAAAATTAAATTATATCTGCCTAAAATTATATATAATACATATAATGTGTTATACAATAGACCATCAAATAAACTATTTAAATTAAATATATTTACAGAAACAAACATTTAATACATACAAGAAAACGGCAATACTCAGAGAAATTACACGTTTTTGTAGTGTAAAACAGTTTAATTCATTGAATAAACAATTTATTTATTTGAGATTAGAGAATAAAATTCTTGAGTCATAGACTTCACATATAAATATTATAATTGATATGATAATTTAAAAAAAAATTTTGATAAAATGTGAATCTCTATTAAAAATTTAACATAATTTGTTACAATTAACAAAGATATTGAGCTTAAGGCAAAAATAAACAAAATAAAACATTTTACCAAAACAATTTTCAAGGGAATTTTTCAAAATATACTATCTTGATAGTTATTGGCCAAAAAAGTCCAAAAAAATAAAATACATTTGAATATCAGATAACAGAAAACATGACTTTGAAAGCAAACATTATTATCTTATATAATAAAAATATTAATCCGAATATTACACTCGAATTTTGATTTAATCTGAAATTGATGAGAATTGTCTATAAGTTTTAATTGATCATTGATGATTTCTTTATAAATATTCACATCATCTCGAAATTTCTGGAGAAAAAGTTATAAAGGAAAAAATCTTTTTTTTTTGCAAATAACTCAAAAACTATATATTTTATTGTTGATTTCACCCATGATTATTTGAAAGATTACTGAATTCCTACAAAACAAATCATCGAAATCGGACCGTTATTTTTAAAGATAAAGCTTATTGTAATTTGTAAATATGAATGTAATGTAATGCAAGTTATAATGTTAACCATAAAACATGAATGGTTATAATTTTTTTTTTTCCTTGGTCAATTACAATTACTGAGTAAAGAGAATAGAATCCTCCATCTTATGACATCAATGCATTAACTTATTTCCTTACTATTTCATCATTTGTTCACCAATATACTATGTGAATTATCCCCATGGGCCAGCCAACTAGTTACTAATACGTTTTCTTAGTTAATTTATAATTTTCTCAATCATATAGAGCTCTTATCTTGAATTCTGGGACTAAAGTGAATATCAGCAAATGCTAGAAATTGAGAAAATTCGCTCTCGATAGTGACATAGTATTTTAATAACTAAATAATATGTGTCCCAATAAAAATTAAATAAAATAAAAAAAATATTCATTCAACTATTTCTGAATTAAGTACATTTATTTACAACATATTGATAACCATCCCCATTCATCACACACATATAATACCCCTTCAAGCATTTAAATTAGTAAGAAAATAAGCAGAAGCCAAAAATGAAGTGATTACATGCATGTTAATAATATCCATCCATACTTAAATATATATACATCAATTTCATGCTAAAAATCTGATGATATACAGATCACGAACAACCAATACCAAATCTGTGCCATCCATAAAAAAATTAACTAAGTCAAAATCATAGATTTTTCAAGCCAAAATTTATCATTTCAATATAGTAGTAGATTTTTTAATATATTTTTCTTATCTTAATTTTAAATAGTGACAATTTGATATTTTTAATCTAAACATAGACTCTCATATTTAAATTAAAAAAAAATATTTGTACAACTGCATGTAATAAATTCTCTTATAATTTTAAAGTTATAATAATAAAAAGGAACTGTAAAAATAATGTAAAAACTGTATGATACTAAAAGGTACATTGATTCAAAGATGATTCTGCTTAGGACACTTAATAACGAATGCAAAAAACATTGGAATCTAGATGGGAAAATTATTATAAATATAGCTAATATTCAAACAGTTTCAGTTAGAAAAACATACTTTTACATCAATTAACTAACGAAAAACAAATTGCAGTAGAACCTCACTTATCCATCCTAGTGGGTACGAACTTCAGAATTGGTTAATCTAAGGTGTATCAAATGAAATACACACTATTATGGGAAAATACATTACAAAAATGAATATAAGTTGTATGTGCATTAATATATGATTAAAGTTAAATTTATAAATTTAGTTATAATTTAACACTTTTTTTTTCTTTTCTCTCTCCCTCCGCCCGGTTGAGATCTGTCACATATAGATAGGGTATCATTATATCTATTTATAGTGAGGTACACAAACATAAAGATTTCAGTGTTGAAAATCTCTGACCTACATTTTCCAACTTTGTGCTAAGACGATCACATCACGTTAAGATTACTTTCACCACTTATGCCTAAAGATTAGCTATTACCCAAAAAAATTAAGGAAACATAATTAGCCATAAAATGAAATTTTATTTGTACAAAACTCAAAAAGTACACTATTTGTGATTGATTGTATGGATGTAAATATAAACAATTTTTTTCGTGCAATTCTTGTCTTTGGACTTTGATTAGTTAATTGTAGAGAAATGGCTTATTGCTTGAAGATAAAAAAAAATGGTTTAAAAGCTGTCACAAGTGAATAGGAACTGCAACAAATAAATCATGGACATTAAGAAACTCCGAAGGTTCTGTCACCAGACCATTTGAAAACTGAAGCTTGCTAATCCTTAATCATGGTTACTATTTTTATTCATACTAAAAAATGTTAGTTTTTTTCATTTACTTTAAAAATAAATAATGCAGATTTAAGTTCTCGACAGCTTTGAGTTTAAATTCTATCTTTCTATGTTTAAATTCTACCAAAACAAATTGACATTGTTTTGTCCCAGGAAATTATTATTATTATTAATTTGCTCAACAGTCCTTAAAGCACCTGGGCCACAGAAACAAGTTGAGGTCATCGATCCACTGCAGCGGGGACTTTTCCTAATACGTGCATCTCCTGGGTGGCTATAGAGAAGTTTCCCTGGAACCTATCTTCCTCCATTCTCTCCATATGGCCAAGCCATCTGAGGAGGTGTCTTTTGATAGTGCCTACAATATTGTCACTATCAAACAGTGATTACAGAGCACATATAACTTATCATGTTTTCTTATTCGTCAATGATTATCTATTCTTTTGGGACCATATAGTTTTCTTAGGACTTTCCATTCTGAAATTACAGGAATCTTCTCACTTTCCAGAGACAAAACCTACATTTCACACCCATAGGTAATGACTGGCCTAATAATGGTTTTATATATTGTTATTTTGGCATCAAGGTAATAATAGTACACAATTATTAAAAAGAAACTTCAAAATATCACTACCCATGAATGTTACCTAATTTCTGGTAATATTCAAACGATGTTAGTAATATTCGGGAGGGTGTTAAAAGATTATTGATGCTAATTTCATACTTAAATCCAAGCAGAAAAGGAAAAAAGTGCACTGGTAAAAAAGAAAATATGATCAAGAAAGAGATGAAATTTACTAAGAAAAAAAAAAGAATGGTTTATTAAATGTACAAATATTGATCAAGAAACAAATTTTAATCCGTCCCCCTTAAAACTCATCACATTTACATAAATCCATATTTTACCATTGAGAGGCTGATTACACAACTGGAATTAGTTAATTTTGTTTTTTGTTAGAGGGAGGGATTATTGAGATATGAAGTCACCTTTATTAGTGTACGTAACTTATCTCTGAGTCTCAACTATAGTCATATTTTACTTTACTAAATAAACATGGAAAGACAAATTTAACTAAATAAAAGAAATATTTGTAATGAGCTATATACTCTAGCTTGCCTTTGATATTTTTTTACAAAGCCGCTCCTCCCACCCATCGAATGGTGGATCTTCGGGGATATAAACCATAGTAGATTCACTAAGTAATGCTGACGCCAATCCTAGGTACCTAAAAGGGTAGATAAAAAGAAAACAAAAAACAAACCAAATAAAAAAGAAGCTTAGTTTACTACTATGAAATTAATTTACTATTTCTATCAACACTATATTAATAGTGTATAAAAAAAAATGAGCATTTTATCATATTCAAGATTCTGAGGTCTGTAAATATTTTAATCCTATTTAATACTTCCTAATACTTAATAATCCCTTAAGAGCATTCTCTAAGCTTGTTTAAATCCCATTAGACTTCTTCAAAAAAAGCCTCAGTTTAGTTATTTCTTTCAAAGAAGAATAATGACAGTGCCTTACAAAATTCTCATAATTTTAAGGTATTACTGAAAAAAAAAAAATTTCACAGCCACTGAAGCAACTCATCATTAAATATGACAGATAAGGTGTCTTTGGCCAGCGAACTGTGTGGTGTTGGTTTGAAAAATTTAGCAGTGGAGATACAATGTTGGAAAGGAAGAAGGGCTCCAGGCGACTATTAATAGATATTGATGAGGTTCTGCAGGAAGCTGTTGAGTCAAATCCGTCCACAAGTATTCGCAAACTTACCAAGGAATGTGGTATGTCAAAGGATACTGTTAGCCGCCATCTACTCTCCATGGGGAAGGTGATAAAAAGCAGTAGACTGGTCCCTCACAAACTTACTCCTCAACAATCAGTTAAAAGGTTAGAAATTTGTAAACATTCATCGAAAAACCTTTGCCTGAAAAAATCCTGCCTCATCCACCATATAGTCCAGACTATTATTACACACGATTGCTACTTATTTAGATTCATGGCCCATTTTCTTCAGTGGAAAAAAATTGATATTTTTGTGGAAGTTGAAATTTCAGTCCAAGAGTTCTTTGACAGCCATCCCAAAGAATGGTATCAGCGCTGGGATTGAGCGATTGGCTTGCAGATGGCTAATGCCAGTAGATAACAATGGACTATACTTTGAGTATTAATTATATTTTATATCAAAGAAATAATAATACACATATTTGGATGAAAAACGGTCATTTTTTTTTTATACACCCTATTATTATAAAATATTACCATACATAATGATAGATAAACAGTATCACAGCAATCATATATATTTTTTTATTGATGCTAACAAAATAACAATAACCTCAAAAAGTAAAAATAAAAAGATTATTTTTTTTTTTTTGTTTATTTTAAACACTTATAGTAATCATTATATTTGAATGGTCAACTTAATAAAAAGAAGTGTACAAATTAAAATAAATTGTTTTCAAATTAATTTATTTTAAGCCAATTTCATACAAATTTTTAATTTGGTCAACTTAATGACATCTATTTATCGGTCTCATTTCTATTCAGTCACTGAATATCAATGAGACCGACAACATGTGGGTGACACATGATAGGTTAAAGGTGGGCATGACAAGAGTGAAACATTTTATTATGGGTAGACGCATGTAATTCGCATAAGTGAAATAGACAGACTCGAAAATGGTCGTAATTAAGATGTTGTAGTCATTAAGTTGATGTTGAGCCATCGATTTCTGTGCCCAACCACTTATTCAGGAGGGCATTGTGAATAGATTGATTACAATATATACAGATAGTCAAGCGGCAATTGGGGCCCTGAATAGTTATGCTAGTCGCTCAAAGTTGGTGGATGAATGCAAATGTAATCTTAATGTAACAAGGTGAGAGTGGAATGGGTACCTGGGCATTCGGGAATTCCAGGAAATGAGAAGGCTGATTATCTTGCTAGGAAAGGCTCTGCACAGATGCTGATTGCAATTTGTGGGATAAGCCTTGATACAGATTGAAGACTAGGATACAGATTCATACTAAATTATTCCTTGTACAGCCCTGCCATAAAAGAAGCAATTCACTTCTTCTAATGGACAGGAATACCATTAGGCGAATGACAGGACTGTATACTGGTCACTGTCAATTAAATAAGCACCTTTTTAATGTGGGTGTAAGTGAAACCTCCACCTGCAGGCTATGTGGCATGGAGGATGAAACAGCCTATCAGATTATTTGCAAATATGATAATCTGGCTATACTGCGATACTTTCACTTTGGATGTGATTGTATCACTGACCCCAAGCACTGCGAACTCATTGATCCCATCAGGATCAATAGGTTCGAGATGGCATCTGGCTTGTTTTAACTGAGTTTAGGACGATGCACAATAGGCCTACTTGAGGCCGCGGTGCATAATATCGGAGCAAAAAAAAAAAGACCAAATTAAAAATTGGTGTAAAATTGGCTTAAAATAAATAAATTGGAAAATAAATATTATGTGCCGAAGTAGAAGAGAGAAATATTGAGAATAAAATAAATTGGTTACATAAATAAAAAGTGTGTATTTTTCCTCATATCAATAAAACCAAAAATCATCAACTATTTTAAAATGAACGACGTTATTTTGTTTCATATTTATTTTGAAGTATAAATTTTTATCATCCATCAATATTGATATATTTAATTCACTTTTTTCTGCATCTTTATTTATTAAAACTATTTCTATAGCAAATCCAAGTACAGGTATATTAATAAATAAACATACATTATATACATACATATATAAAGATTATTTCGGGATTCATTGGAGCATTGTTTTACCAGCCAGGACCCTTTTTTGGATAATAAAATAAATAACTCTTAATGATATGTGGCACAATGAAAATAATTAAATAACTAGATTGTGTAAAAAAATAAAAACTTTATTATATTTTTATCCGTATCATGTTCTGGCATCCAATGGTACTTTAAATGTTGACGATGGAACAGTTGAAAATAAAATACTCGAAAATGGCTAACTGGCTGAAATGTTACACAATTAAGAAAAAACTTTAAATATTTTTTTCTCGTTACAAAGATTCTGTATTAATAAAAAGTGTAGTGTGAAATTTAATGAGTTTTTTAAACCTTAATCTAAATTTGATTAATATTATTTTAACCAGTTATTAGACAATACAATATTTTGATAGCACATCCAGCAGATCTATTGGACTGTACGTTGACCACTTCGCCAATTACCTCCTAAATTGTTACCACTAAAAATTGCCATAATTTCTGCAGATAACCATAAATTTGGTTTCAGTGTCTCATACGTATTTATTTTGAGACCTAGTTCTCTTCTGGGTATCTATGTTGTAAATATATATCTTGAAAAGTTTGTGTTCATAATATATAAATATTTAATACATATACAAACATCTTTCCATAAAGAAGGACACAAGTTATTAGTATGAAATAAATGAACACAATATTATTAAAAAAATGTTAGTGCTCAGCACACAAGCAAATCTAAGTATCACAGTGAGATAATTTACAAAAACTAACAAAGCTATTCTTCTCAAACAAATTAATGATTTAAGTAAGAAAGAAAATTAGGTTATACAAAACTAAAGCATTATCATGACAGAATACAATCATGCAAAACTCTACAATTCCCAAGCACTTAATAATATAACAATTTCATTCTTGCCTCTGAACATCTTTTGCAGAGATCTGACTCCCAATCCTCTGGAGGAGGAAATTCAGGAACAAAAACATAAGTAGCTTCTGAAGAAAGAGCCGAAACTAGAGCCAAGTACCTTTTAATCAATCAAATTTTTTCTTTCTTTTATAATTTTAATTGAGCATACAAAAAATATTCTAATCAAAACTTTTTATGATATTATAATAGAAAAAGTAAATACAAACCCACAATGTCTACCCATAACCTCCATTATAAAAGTTCTTTGATGAGAATAAGCAGTGTAAACTATGGCATCCACTGCTTCTAAGATTCTATGCAAAGCTGAATCAGTTCCAATAGTCATATCCGTACCACAAAAATCGTTGTCAATAGAACCCACAAGCCCAACAATATTTAAGTATTCACATTTATTAGCTTGTTCTGAACTTATTTCACCTGAATAGTAAAATTGATTAAATTTACTTGGATTCGCCATATTGAGCAATTAAAAATTAAATAAATAAGAAAAATTACGAATTAGAGCAAGCCAAACGTCACTGATTAGTATTTTTAATTCCATTAATCACCCTAAATTAAATATAAATATGAAAAAAACTTAAAAATAAAAGAAGTAAAGCATGAAGATCATCATTAACTGAAAGAAGAAAAATTGAATAAATACTGGTAATGCCAATAATTGCCATAGAAATGTAAAAATACAAATAAAAAAAAATTCCTTCAACATAGTTAAAACAAAGAGAAATGCAGATAGCAAGATAGATATACTTCAGAATATGGCAGTGAAAGATTTCTACATTATCCAATCTATTTTCATATCTATGCCTGTGTTTTCACTGTATTGGTGTGATGTTCGACAGAAAAGAAAAATTTATATCAACGAGACCAAGAATTCACCATGGTCATAAAAATTGTGGCATAATTCTAATTAAAGTTAATTATTAAATGCTCTAAATACAACACCATTGAGCATCAATTACATGCTATTCATAAATGCAGCAAATATGAAAACTATCAAATAACGCTTTTCTCAGAAAAATTAGTGGATCTAGACAGAAATATAAAACCATCTTAAGGTCATTTCATATAACAATGCTATGTAGATTTCTAAAAAATTTACATTAATATAACACTTAATAGGCATTTTAATAATGTAATAATACTGGCTGTATAGGAATTCAATAAAATTCTTAGGGCAAAAACAAAATATGATTGGATGAATAGGTCATGCCCACAAAATACCAAACCTTGTTTGATTTTCCTTTAAACATTGGACCAACATGGAACTGAACCACCAACCTGTCAGCAAATGTTAAACATCACCCTTCACAAAAATGTTGATTATTTATAAGCCCCTTCAGAAATGTTATCAAACCTAACCTGTCAAAAAAAAGATGCACTCGTCTAACTTTGGTGTACAGTAAGATCATGTGATCTTGGGCACACGTCATACAGATGTGACACTACTATAGTTTTATCAATTTCACTGATTAATTTGAAAAAGATAAACACCCTAATACAATACTATTGAATCAATTGTAAAGCAGAGGAAAATAGTTTGATAATATTTTTATATTGCAAAATTCACTGCTCACCAATGAATAATTACCTTTATCCAGAAGATTCTTCACCAAAGTTGTCCACTCATTTCTAAAACAATTAGCACCAGTCAGAGAACCATCACCTCCAATCACGACTAAATTATTAATTCCCCGCTGTATTAAGTTTTTTGCAGCTTTCATTCTTCCTTCAACTTCTCGAAAATCTTTGCAGCGAGCTGAGCCAATAACAGTTCCCCCCTAAAATAACAAAGTGGAATTATAAAAGAATATCTTTCCTGATTGAGAAAAATATTGTTTTTAATGGTTGAGTTATAAAAAATTGTATTCATATTTTCAATAGTTGTTAATAATCTTACATTCCATTTTGTTATGTAGTAAGACAATGGTACAATAAAATAAAAAATACAACACAAGTGTTGCTTTTTTTTACAAAATTTAAATAAGCCAGTTGTCCAAAGGAACTTTAAACAGCCGAATGATCTGTTAAATAGGAAAAGCATTTATAGCACCTCCATTACACCTTACCAATTCCACGAAACTGGTTCAATGTAATGCAGATGAGATTTTTGTTCCATTTGGTCAAACAGTGGCACAGAACTTTATCTTTTGATTTTTTTTTCTTATATCTGATCTTTTTTTATTTTAACAACATGGACATCCAAAAAAAATAATACCATTCCAGAATTAAAATAATTTTTTTGTTGGAATAGATTCAAAACCACACCTACAATTCTACAGATTTAAAGAGACTTTATCTACCACACATTTAATAATGATCTCAAATAAGTAAAAGAAAGGTACCACTGTACAAATGTCACTCCACCTTTTCCAGTGGACTAATAAGATACTTTGTCCATGGTATGAATGGGGTTCTGAGAAAAGCAAAGGACTGATATGTTCACAGTACAATCTATATCGCAATTTAGGACTGACTTCGGCAAACTCCTTACTGGTTCTTTTCAGTTAAATTTAGGGCAATAATTACATCACTGCATTTGACTCCCACTCACTCTAAAGGGTTTTACAAATCTCCAACTTCTTTTCAGTTCCATTTACTTTCAAGCACAATCAGCTATTCTCAGGATTTCATTTACACTACGAACAAGAGGTCTTGGTGCACTGGCCAATGTGGAGTGACATTTGTACAGTGGTACCAAAAGAAATTTTTTTTTTCAGTACCATTGTACAAATGTTCTCCTAATAATTTTTATATCAGCAATATTTCAATTAAGTTGCAGTTGTTGGGATCTCTTTCTCTGTGGAACATTAAAGACTCATGTTTCCACAGATTACGATTATACTGATTTAAAACTGTAAAACTTTTAAAAATTTACTAACAGATTTGTTCGGTTGAATGGCAGCTCCATTTCATCTTCTGTTCCTACGAAAACCGTTCCTTATCTAAATCTGAACCTGTGATAGTTCTTAGGCCAATTTTTATAAGATTGTAATCAAAATTTTTACCTTATGAATAATCGAAGAAACTGATGTCCATTGAGCTTCAACAATGCAGTCTCCACCATCAACCATACCTTGATATCCTTCTCTAATAAAATAGACCTTGCAACCTAAGTATATACCCATTCGGACAACAGCTCTTACAGCAGCATTCATACCTGAAGATTGAAAACAATATATCCATAAAACTTTAAAATAACACACTGGTATCAAAATTAAAAATTTTTTTGTAATTAACCATACCCTGAGAATCTCCTCCACTGGTAAAGACAGCTATACCTTTTCCTTTATAAGATCCACATTGAAGAATTCTTCTTTTTTCTTTTGAAATTATCATAGTATCAACACTCATCTTGAATAAAGTTTAAGTAATCAACTACTGCTGGAAAATATCAAAGTTTGATCAATATTCGACTTTTGAAAGTGACGATATCTCCTATCAATAACCTATCACCCGCCCAATAAGCACACAAATGACAAGTACTGGGGATAGTGAAACAACACGCGATAGGCTAATGATCAAGAGCTGTCAAGCCGGTTTTTTAATGTCATTTTTGAATCTTCTTTTTCGCAAATGTGATAGATTTAAACTTATCTTTTATTTTTGCTGCGGGAATTTTTGATTAATAGAAATATAATAATTCTGTTGCATTATAAATTACCAAAATAAGTTTATTTAAATATTTCTTCAACACATGCTAAAAGTAAATAAATAAAAACACTGAAAATTATTACGCAATGGTTAATTAAACAATATCTCAAGCAGACACCTATAAGGAATAATAAAAATGTAATTTGTAATCAAAATAAGAATATTTGGATTTTTATTTTACACATTAGTTTATTTACTTTTTTAAAAATATTTTTCTAGTGTTATAATTCCTAAACACTTTATAATTGGTTAATTATTTTCAGTACTTTTGAGATAGATTAAGAGAAAAATGTTAAGTTCCTCCTCAAAAATTTGAGGTTTATGTTTCAAGTTTAGAATAATCCAAAAATATGATTTAAAAACTGACGTCCTTGGCTTTTCAAGATATTATTAGGAGATAATTTTTTTTTCAGATCTGGCAACAAAGTCTCTCTCTTGTTACCCCAAGATTATTCTGGGAAGAACCAGAGCCGTGGAAAGAATCGTAGGCCCTAGGCAAGTATGCCCTTCTTTCAAGTTCAATGGCGCTTAGCCCTTCACTTCTTTTCCAAAAAATTTTCTTCTTCAAATGAATGCATAAAAACAATGAAAGTTTATTAATTAGAAATATTGTCCTCTGGTTCAAAGTTTCTCCTATAAGTGGAACCCCACGAAACTGTGTTTATCTTCGAAAATTCATATCTCCGTCAAAATGTGCCTCCCTCAAAAATTTTGATGGCACAACTTGCGCCATGCTAGTATGCAAAATATAGTGTAAAGACATTGCAAATTTTTTTCACCCCGTAAGCACGTGCTTTGCAAATGTAAGCGCGTGTCAAAAAAAAAATGTATCCTTAAAAGAATAATTGTTGCTGTTAACATGATTTTTATTTATTATTATATTCTTTCAAAGTTAAAAACTACAACTTAAACATTATTTTACATGGTTACTTTATTTTTCTTCCAATTACTGTTGTTAAAAAAAATCAAGCCTCCCCAAAATTAAATCTTGGATCCGCTACTGATGCTATCTACATTTTATTTTAATATATATAATAAACTTAGTATTAAAAAAATAAAACCTTGTAGGCTAGGCATCGCCTTCTTCGTAGCCCCGGCTGGTCGTAACTCGACATTGATATCTCGCATTTCGTTTCCATCATGATGGATGATTGGAAACTCAAAGACCTTTATAATCTTATGTGTAAAACCTTTTAAAAATCGGCCATGAATGATAGCTCATGTCATTGGAAGTTGTCTATCTATGCGTGTTTTTGATTCAATGTCTCTTAAAACTTAAGTTATAAGTGGCTCATTTTTGGTTTATTATTTTTTCCTATAATGAACCTTTGTAATCTACCAAGAAAAAAAACTTAACACCCGTTCCTTCCCCTTTCCTAAAACTTGATGTTTTACGATACTCGATACGCAAAATCCGAAAATTTAACCTTTTTTTTCATGTTCGATTACAATTGTTTATTATTGGAAATTATAAATTTAAATGTACTATTTTTTTAAATCTTTAGTCAAATTAATCGGAAATGCTTTTTATTTTTATTTTATCTTCATACATGGCCGAGATACGGGATGATATCACTAATCGGCACACGTTTTGAAATGAAATGAGGGTTGATTATGCCGAGTTCCATTAGTGGATCCAGGAGTTAATATTGGGGGAGGCTTCTTTATATATATATATATGCTTTATTGTTCCTTACAATCCTCTATATATACATTCTGAGTTGTTTATATAAATGCTTTTGGTATTAACGCTAATACTGCCCCGCTCCGTACCTTAACTTATATATATATGAAAGGTTGATAGCAAAAACCATACTAGTCAAAAATGCAAATTTTCAGGAACATGAAAAAACCCGTTATCTTAATACCATTAATGACCAAAGTTTTGTTATTTTTTACATGCACTCTGTGGGCATCTGGATGTGGTATCAGCACCTGTCGAGTTGTCAAAACTAGGAATGGGGTGATGCCAGAATTTTTGTTGATACGGGTACTTTTTTGTATCTGATACAAATGGGTCAGTAGTTTGTCATTACCTTCCTACTTGTATCGGATCATAAAACATCCATAGCCTTCGCAGGTTTCACTCCAGTAGAGGATGCAAATACAGACAGTAAATTTATCATTTTGAATTTCGGAACTGTGATGATGTGTCGCGACCAACCACCAAGATTGTCGCAAAAGCACAGATCTGATCAGATTTAATTTTGTTGGGGCTCCAGCCCGAAAGCTTATTATTTTCATGAAAATGACGATAATTTCTTTGGGAAAAAAGAATGAAACTAACTATCTGTAAGAAATGGTGTTTAAGTGATTCCTTAAGTCCTTTCAAATGTAATTACATGAACAATAATACTTTAAGAGATATTTTTCCATAAAACGTGGTTATATTTTACCATTTTGGGGGGGGGAGGCTTCAGCCCGAAAGCCCTCCCTCCTCCCCGTAGATCCGCCCGTGGCTCTTATCACCTCTCGTTTTTGCGACCACTGATAACCATTTCCGTCGATTATCGGTTGAAACTAATGTGAAAAGGCAAGAAACTGTGATGATTTTGCATTATCAATAAACAACTACAATGTATCAACAGCTTAAGGAGACCGTTCTAGCGGGGGCTAAAGGATATGCTATTGACAAGCGGGGTTCCGTGGCATCACCGTATTTTCCGTGGTCTTTACCATCCGACCAATGGGTTTTTTGATAATAAAATCGTGTGAGGAATGCCGTGCACAAGACGATGGTGGCTTTAACAAATTTGAGAATTCTGCGACTAGTGGGGATTTCCGCTATCAGCCCATTGTATATTTGTGAGCATAAATGTCACTTAATTACTTTTTTCAATAAATATATTTATTGATTTTGACAGGACCTGTTACCAGGTCATTTAGCAAAGATTATTTATGTATAATCAAAAACCTAATTTATTTTTTATTACTTCCTTTGTTCTGAGGGTATCATCTATTGTAAACAACTGTAATAATAAATGCTGGCTTCTTTCGGTGTACCCAGATGAACAAGAAGAGATGGGGTTCAATTATCATGTGTTTTTCTCTTTGAAGATGTGAGAATTCAAAACCTGGAGGAGTAAGAATGAATGGGCACAAACGTTAATATGTATAACATTTCCATAGATTGGTGACCTCTTGTCTATTAAGAAAACCGTTTTAGATTGAATGGAATATTCTTCTAGCTGTTTCTAGTTGAAGTGACACCTTCCCGCTGATACTGTAACCTTGCAATCCTTACTCCATAGCTACTTTAATTTATTGTCCAAATTTTTGCTTTAAAAAACCTTACTTTTTCGTCTCGCTTTCCTAACGTAATTTGTTTACTTAATTTCATTACACGTTTAACTGAAATTTTATAACCTATCTCATTAACAAAATATACAAACATAAAATTTTTAATCCAGTACAAAAATCAAACTTTGCAAAGCAGGGGTGGATTTCCGAAAAACATTAACTTTTTTATTGAAATTGTATATGGTCGTTTGAAAGTATACTAAATTATCTAAAAAATAATCGGACGATTTGGTAAAAATATATTGTTCCAAATATTTACCAAATGTTCTAAAGCTGATCAAAGTTTTGTCTTAAAGAAACTGTATGACGGATTTTGATGAATGTATTTTTATCGTTCAGGAAATTAAAATGTCTTCAAAATATGTTCTGACCCATAAATGAGAACAAATGCACCCTTTTTACTTCTTTACAGGTTCTTTTTTCGAGGAAGTATGTTATGTACATAAATTTAGTTTCATAAGGAATACTTTAGGAAAGTTTTTATTAATGCCATTACAGCCGTTTTAGTGCTGTAGAAACTGTTTTTTTTTACCGACACCGTTTTGAAACAAAATGGCGGCTGGTGATTAGATCCACCTCTAACACCAACTTAATATAGATACAATATTTCAACATTCCAACTTTGTTAGGACGAGCTCTGGAGGATACATACCAATACATTAAAAACGTTCTTACATACCGACATATTTCCAAAGTTAAATCGTATTGTTCCGCCTCGGGACAAGCTCTATATACCAAACTTAAACTTAATCCGTCAAAGAGGAGTAGGAATATGGTGGAGAAAAAAATATGTTTATAACTGACACATCTCTAAAAATTGCATAATCGTGCACTAGCGGTTCCAAAATGGACAGAAACCGCAACCCCGCTTTCCACTGACGATTTTCGATACAGTGAAAATAGTCTATTTCGAAGGAAATTAGGCAAAAATGATCACAAATCATAACTCTTACACAACTGAAATTTCATTGCAAAGCACACCAATAAACCGAGTAAGGAGCCTAACCAAAATTTCCTCTTTATTGTGGCTCTGCTAAAAGAATTGCATGAGGCCTTCTGTCACCACAAGTATGAGCTTGTGTTATTTAGAACTCAGGATAAATTATGACAAGCACTGAATAAAAATGGCTGGTTATATCCCTTAAAATCCAAACAAGGGCCGAGTCAGTTACCTGCTTCCATCTCCAGAAGCACTCAACACACTGCAGTAATTGGAGAAATAGGGACAACACCTACACCTTATTAGAACATTATAAATTCAAAGTCGGCAGGTAAATTTTATTGGCTTAACAGTTGAAGTATGGGCGTCAAGAAAAAAAAACAAAAACTGAATATTGCAACTATGGTTCCATTAAACCATCGAATTCCTTGCGTGCCCAAAACCCTCAATGATCCCTACTTTGTTACAAATAAAACCACTCATAATGACGTTAATGTTTCAGATCTTGCCTAATCCAGATACTTAATCCTACCATAATAAACTTCAGCTTCAACCCTCTCGTTTCTAACCTTGCTTCCTCTTCAATTCCTGACAATCGGAGTCGCCTAAAAAGATGGCCCCACCTCTTAATGCGTCATCAGTGCTACCAATACAGTTACTCAGTGTTTACAGCCATTACATCCATATAGTCAAATTTACTTAATGTTTTTATTTGATGCAGTTACAAACATCATTAAGAAAATCAAATATTGCAACTTAGCCAAAAATTAATTTCACAGGTCGTCTCTGCTTGACAAAGTTAAATTTGTTTTAATGTAAATCCAACTAAAATAAGACCAAAACCCTAATGATTTAGGTACAATAAATGATAGGTCTATGTATTGGCAAGCTAGGCCTAGTCATGACAGTAGACAAACTGATGAGGACCATACTTTCCTGATAAACTTGGGGAAATTTGTTTCATTCTTTTGTCCGCTGCCTAAAATGATCCATCCATCAATCTTGAGGCAGGTAGAGTAGGGGTTTTAGAGAGATAAATTGCTAGATTAATATGCCTAATCTTAAGTTCCCAAAAGAGCTTAGTAGTAGAACATTCTATATATTCAACATATCTGTACCTTATAACAAAATGAGCCAACAATTATGGAATTTTAATTACCACAAAATAAAACTAAGAACAGAAAGTAATCTTTGTCTTAGAGGGTAGCAATAATAGTTCTTAAAATTATAAATTTCTTAACTTAATTCCCTATATCATCATTTATATGTCAGTAATGAATATTGGCCCTTTATGTTTCAAGGTGTAGATTGTAAAAACTCAATTTATTTATTATTTTGAATATTTAACTTCCAGCCCTTATCAAGCGAAAACTCGTCTTCAGAGCCCATTGTGAAATTATAAAAATTGCATATATTCATGGCAATTGACTTTTACTAATACACCTTATCTATAAAATTACTAGTCCCCTTCAAAAAATATGTACAAATTAAAAAAAAAAAAACCTTCAACAAGGGGTTGAAATTAAATCAGGGTTTCATCAGTGTTATGTACTTAGTTAAAATGTTTTAATTTAATTGATGTATAAAATAACAATTAACTAAACTCTTACTTTGGAAAATACCCAATTTCTTTCGTAACTACAATAATTTAATTTATCATCACATAACTCAGAAGCACCAAACAATATAAATTGCTTTGTGCATTAAACTGATAAACATAAGTTATTTTCACAGATATGTCAGTCTCAGGAATGATAACATACACATTCAAATTGGATTAAAACTTTGAATATGAGGTTCTATACAGCTGATCACCAAACAAAAGTAATTATTTTAAGAATAGAAAACAAAATCAAGTAACAAATTTCATAAATTAATTGGATCTCTTTTCAGACTTTTTTAAAAAATAATCATCAAAATGACAGAAAAACAGTTAGCTGTTCAGAAATACCATTTCTTTTAATCTAACAACTTTTTTTTCCAAACTTGTTCATGTTTGTTTATAGTACAGAAACTGACATTTCATGTGATAGCAAACGAAATTAATCAAAATTCAACAGTGGTGATTGATAAAATATGTAGCACCAAGTATTATAAGTTAGGCGTCTATTTTATTGCGAAAATTTATTAACCATCGACATAAAATGAAACGTTCAGGTAAACCAATCAGTGAAGGTATACCTTCAGTATCTTGTAACAGATAAATTACAAAGCACTTAAGTTTTTCTTTTCTTTTTTTAAAAAAAATAAAAATATTTCGTACAAGCTACATCCAGCTAATAACTCAAGATGTCACCAAAATAAAAGTGATCTTCAACAATTATTAAGGTTTCTTAAAAAAAAAAAAAAAACCATGACCTTGTTATCTTGCAGAGTTTAAGGCTGTTGTTTTTTTTTCTCTTGTATCTTACATACATGATGTAATCACAAAAGAAGAACAAAACATTTATTCCCATTTAACAACAGACCAATATGCAGAATTTCCTAAAGTATACTTGGTTCCTTACAATTTATTTTCCTCCAAACGAGCAAACTAATTTTGAGCAAAATTGTGACATGCACACTAAAGATTGCTAAATCAATTATAATTTCATTCATTTTTAGAAGTCAAGTGGCACTATAGGCACTCTATATTCAAGAAAGGAACAAAAGTAAACTTTAGGAAATCCTGTATGAACAAGGGTTTAGTCATTGGGAGTTAACAATTATAATTCCAAAGTTTTAGAGAATAGAAAGAGATATTTATATATATATATAAAGAATCACGTTAAATACATCAAAGTATTTTTTTTTCTTTTTTGTTTATGACTCTGTCATAAATGACAATAAGTATGTATGACAATTATACAGCTAAAAACAGACAATTTTGAATCAAAGAGAGTGGGGAAAAATGGGATTGGTGCATTGGCTTTAAGGGCACAACGACAAATATACATATATCCTGTAATTATTTGCTCCCAGGCATACCTTGACCCAAACGCTTTTGAGATTTTTAAATCCAATTTTATTAATAAAAAATTGTTGCTACATCAAGACTTTGAAGGTTTCGAACAACGGCAATTTATATTGACAGCAACATACATGCTGTAAATTAAACAAAAAAAAGAAAGAAAAATAAAAAAATAATAATACATTTCCAATGGAAATCTCCTTTGAACAGATCACATTTATAACATTACAGCACTGGTGAAAGCTGACAAATAAAAATGGATCCAAGTATTTCTATTAAGTGAATTGACAAATTAAATATTTTACAATTAATACATTTTTTAAATTCATACCATAAAAATGATATTTACTAAGTTATTTTTATTGGATCATCAAAATGACAAGTTATTTTTGTTTGTTTTTTTTATTTTTATGAAAAACTGTAATTGCTCTCACCCTCGAATTGTATACTGCATAAGATAAATATAAATAAAATCTCAGTCTGAATTAAGTTTTCCTTATGAAAAAGAAAACAAAAACTGAGATAAATGGACACAGTACACATCCACTGAAATATCAGACAAGAAACACCCTGATAAAAAAATTCGCGCTCTCTATTTCCTTAACACAACCACTTCAACATTTTTCTTAATTAATAAAAACATTTCTTGTACATTATCATGAAGCAAAAGGAAATAAGAGTGATTATCATGTGTATTCGCGAATATGTGAATATTTCCAAGTTCCATTAATAAAACATCAACAGTCTGAAGCCGAACAATAGGAGACAGAACATATTATATATTCATAGAAAAAGCATCAACGTACAAAAACTATGCCCATGAATAGATTTTTTGTTAGCTAATTACACATTTTGGCACCACAAAAATAAAAATAAAAAATAAGAAGGGAACATAATAAAATTAACTTACAATATAATCTATAATCCTAAGCTTTTCTTTTTCTTTTAATTATATATGTATGTATACATATAAAAAATACAAACAAAAATTAAACAATTTTTAAATATATATATATGTGGGCATGTATTACCATACTATATAAAAACAAGTATAAAGAAATCAAGAGAAGTGTGTAAAGCATTATTAACAGGAAAATTTTGATAATATATATAATATATACATGAATGAAAACAAATGGTGCTTGGCATAGGTTTGTATACGCTGCTTTTTTTTTTTTTCCTTTTTTTTTTGGTTTTAAATACTTTTTGTATGTATATCATATGTATGTGTATACATATACACATGTGTATATATATAAACACACACACTCAGATATTGGTGAGATGTGGTGAATACAAGATTTTTTTTTTTTACAATGAGGGTAATAGTATATAAAGTGGGGTGGCTGGAGGTGGATGGGCTTGGAGGAAAGGGGAAAAAGGGAAAGTTGGTTTAGTTGTCGCCTCCTTCCTGGGGCTCATCGCCATCACCCTGGGTGTCAGATGTCCACAAGGTAAGGTTATCTCGCAAAAGCTGCATGATGAGTGTCGAGTCCTTATAGGAATCCTCATTGAGGGTATCAAGTTCAGCGATCGCATCATCGAAAGCCTAGTTTAACAAAACAGAAAATTAAAAAAAAAAAAAAAACTGATTCATTATTATAAAAAACACATGTAAAGATGCCATCAAAATTTTTTAGGCCATATACATTTCAAAATTAAACAGTCTACTAATGAAGAAAGTTTACCAATTAATAAATTAAATAGTCTAATGAAGAAAGTTTACCAATTAATCAATTAATACCAAATTTTCACTTATAAACACTAAAAATTATTTACTTTAATGATTACTGAATTGAGTTAAGTTGAACCAAAATTTTTTTTCTTACAAATAAAAATCATTTAACTTATGACAATAATTGCACGATATCAAGACAAGGATCGTGAACATCCAACACAACCAAAGATCCTTAACATTCAACAAATTTTAATTGTCCTACAAACAATAATAAATTGAATTAAAAAAAAAAAAACTATTTTGTGAATTTAAACCTAGTCGCAATCCCTTAAAGGAAGATTATTTTATTACATGCAATTATGAAGTATCAAATCTTACGTACCAGAATGTTGTTACTTGTGAAGAATATAAAAAACATTAACAAAACCAGTAAAACAATTAAGTACTCAGATAGTAAGAGCAAAAACCCTTTATGATCAAGATAGTTTAAATAGGTGAAAGAATTTACCAGTTATAGGAGAGCAACTTTTGATAAATAGTACAATTTATTATTTTTTAAGAAAAATCAATTGATTTCATAAAAACTCACATTTTTTACATTAATAAGACAAAAGAGTCAATTATCAACAAAAAGGGATAACTTCTAATTCTAAAACTTTGAAGAAAAAAAAACAAGGGTTTTAATTAAGTATGGTCTGAAGGCCTTAAATCTGTATTCTTTGTGTTTTTTAAGTAGATACCTCAAATTGTTTATTTTATCGTTTGCCTAACTACATTATAATTAGAGTAACTTTATGAATGAACTAAAATCTATAACTACTAACTAGCTATAACTAAACAAAGTAAAAATGCATTAACTAAGTTCATATAAAGGGTTAGAAACAGCGCAGCATCCATCATAAATATAATAAATGGTTGAAGAAACAAAAACAACATGAGCAAGATTAGTGCTTTTTTTGTTTGATTTTTTTTTTTTTACACACATTTAAATTTAAAATCAAATTATATGTGATTTATTTTTTTAGCTCATACAAATTTTTAGACGGCAATATTTTATATATAAACCAGAATGAAACCACCAAATAAAAGTTAGAAACAACATAAGTGAATTGAAACATCATTAATTAAACACAGTAAATAAAACTTTTTTTTTTTTTTGGAAATAATTTGAATTTTCAATTCAGAAAGGTTAAAAAAAAAAAAACATAAAATTTCATTACTGTCAAATCAACTACTTCTATTCACAATAAACCATCTCCGAAATGTGAATTCATAAGGTCTAGATCTGTCATAATGAACAAGAACGTTTGTTTAAAGAAAATCACATATATTTTGAAATTAAAAGTTAGTTACAAAACAAAACAATCAGAAATCTGGTGTGAAATTTAGAGAAGGGAAAAAGAATATTCCTGCTCATGTTGTTACCTGTTTCGCTAGGTGGCAAGCCCGCCCTTGGGAGTTGATGATTTCATAGTAGAAGACTGAAAAATTTAATGCCAAGCCCAACCTAATAGGATGAGTAGGTTGCATTTTAGCTTTTGCTATATCAAATGCTTCTTGATAAGCTTTTTGTGAGTCTTCCACAACAGCTGAAAATAATGGCAGGAAAATGAAAGATTACAAAATAACTGAAAGAACTCGTCATTGAAAAGATCTAATAAGAAATGCTTGTTTAAATATAAAATAGAAAGTAATTGACAAAGAACTATTCCACAATAAATGAAGATAGAAAATTTTATATAAGGGATCATAATAAATGGCATTGTTCCTATTTTTCAACTTTTTTTTCTCTCTTTACAAATCAGTGATGAGAAGTTAGCTGGATGCTCCACCGTTAAGACCCTGAATTCTAAATTTAAAAAATATATGTATTTTGGAAAAAAAAGAAGACCTGTTTTGCAAGCTGACAAGCTTTGTCAGGTGAGTTGAGGATCTCGTAATAGAAAACGGAGAAATTCAAAGCGAGACCCAGCCTAATGGGATGTGTTGGCTGCATCTTCGACTTACTTATTTCAAAGGCATCTTGATAAGCCTTTTGTGAATCGTCCACAACAGCTAAACAAGATTGAGAAGTCAAATAAAAATTCATATTGTCTCTCTAGGAATTTATGTACAAATAAAATAGTGTTTACATATAATACTAGATAATTAAACCAATTCCATTTTAGGATAGAATACAGAATTGCTGTAAGCACAGTTAAAAATTTGAACATTTTATGAACAATTAATAAGTATGAACTACTGCTTACATTGAACTACTTACGCATATAAAACTGCTTAGACTCTTAAATCACTAAATGCTAGTATGAATCACAAAAATTCTCAAGAGACTTATTATGAATAAATATAAAATATTTAATATAAATGTGTATATAAGTAGTATTAATCATTGAAGATTATAATTGTAATTTTATAAAAAAAAAATTACTTATCACAAACCGCTATAAGTGTAGAGGACTCTATGTCCCAATTAGATTCAAATATTGATTCAACATAAAGTTGTAATTTAAAAAGAATGATATATTTGGATAAAAAAAAAAAATTGCTTCCCTGATAAATATTTTGACCAATACATGTTGGTGGTTCAAATAACTTAGAATTTTACCTCCTCCATACCAACTGTCAATGATATGGATGAGGAAGCAGAGGTGACCATCTCCCAAAAGTGCAATGGTACATGCTCCTTCTGAAAATATTATAGTTTACTTTTTCCCTTCGGTTCACAGTTTGGAAATTTTCTTAAATAACATTACAAAAATATCGTCCCATCCAAAAATCTATACAAGGGCAGGTGTTGACAGTTCTTTAGAGAGTAGAATATAGGGAGCACATATTAATTGTTATTTAGCTTTTTTTTTTCCAAATGAAATTTCTGCTTGATACTAACTGCTACCAGAAGATAAGATAGATTGGAAATGAAAATGATATGGTAGGCATGTGTTTAGTTCATATCGTTTTCGCACGGAAATAAATACCTAATTATAGGTGATAAATATTCAGAACTTTCAGAGTACTCAAATAATTTCAGTGCTTGAAACACACCCTGATGATGAACCACATGTTTGGGTTGAAACTTTGGCACCAATAAAATCTTTATAATGACTATGTCCTGAATATTTACCATCCATGATATGTAGAACAGTCGACTAACCTCTTTCTATAATAATATATAATTATAGATATTACTAAAGTTATATTGACACAATCCAATAAATGGAGATGCAAGCAATAATCAATTTTGATTCATACACAATTAAAAAAATGTTTTTCAGAGAGTAACAGAAGGCTTTTAAAGTGTTATGTATTACTAATAATAGAAAAAGTTAGCAACAACCATTTTAGTAATATTGTTCGGGCAGTAAATAAATATATATTTTTTTTTATCTATTAATGTCTGAAATGAATAAATGTAAACAAATCTTCAACTAAACATAAAATAAACTTACTGTTTCTGGTGTCTCCTGTTGCTACTTCAGCAAGGTACCTATAGTAATCTCCTTTCATTTTTAAGTAAAAAACTTTACTTTCGGCATTGCTGGCTTTGGGGATCAGGAACCTGTCTAACAGGCCCTACAAAAATACAAAAAAGTAAATATAAATACATTATATATTACGTTAGAGATGTTTTAACATATATACTGACAATGACATTCTCATAAAAATCATTAAAACTGAAAGTTCTTGAACAACTAAAAGGATTTGATTAAATATGATAGAAGATTTAGGAATAGCCTAGTAATTCTCCAAATCTTCAGGAGATTAATTGGAAGTTATAAAGTATATATTTCTATGAATAACGAATTATTTCATGAATACTTTCTCCAGAAATGGTAGGAGTAGGAAGAGAAAAGATGCCAAGAAATGAAACACATTAACTATAAATGCGTAGTTAATAGGTACCAATGTTAAATCACTTTAATTTCTTTATCTTTTACATTTTTCGTATACATACAATAATTATTATTGTATCATATTATCCTTTGTATTTTATAAATATCTATGTAATCTATATTGATTGGCTTAACCTGCAACTTGACTTGTTGGATGCATTAAAAATAACTTAATGTTTTATTTCTTGTAATCATATCTCTTAATAAACTGTTTGAATCTATAGAAACAATATTACCACTTTCACGCTATTTTTAAATATATATGTAATAAGGTTGCCTACCGAAACCTTTTAATGGAATTCCTTGATTTTTTCTAGGTCATGTTAGGAAACATTTTGACACCAAAACTAGATAAAGTATAGGATACCTATCTTGCTATGTACATAGCTTATGGCTTATGTGGTTGAGGTAGTAACAATTTAGGAAAATTATAAAAGGAAACCAATTACTAAAAATGAAAAATGCAAGTACACTAAAGAGACATCTAAAGATTGGTACTGGTTTATGATAGGTTAATTTAATTACTTGTAAATACGACTTAATTTGAAATTTAATCTACTTATACAAAGTTGTCAAAAAGCTAATTTTTATAAAACAGCTTCAACCTTAACCAATTCTAGTAATTTATTTTTTTCATGATTCAACTTGAATATTCTTAAATAAAATCCTTAGAAAGTTATAGTCGAATCTATAAAACAAAAACCGGCTTTTTTTTTTTTTTTTTTTTCATTTTATGAGAATGACAGGTGTTTGATATGAAGCCATTTCTCATAAAAGCAATTGTATCATTCTTTCTGCTTCTAAAATTAGTAGAAATAAACGTAAAAGACAAATTACTTCATACTCTAATTTATAATTTACTGTGGATGGATATACTAACTGCATTTGTCCTGAAATAAGTGAATGAAAGGAAGAAAGAAAAATGTTAGGTTCCTGACTACATTTTTATAAACTGGTGTTTTGTAGAATAATAGTATCAGGTATAACAGTTATTAATATTAGTAATGTTTCAATTTCTGTAGAAAATTTTCAAGGTTGCATTATCTTAGCAATAAAAACCAAAACAAGTGGAAAGTTAATTAAAATTGTTATCATTAACAAGTGATAAGATTTAATTTTATTGAAAATGTCCTAAATTACAGAATCATAAATCCTAGATATTTAGTGCTTATGCTCTTAGAACTGGTTAATATATGCTTTGAATATCACTATTCAAATGATTCATAATTTAAAGATATTCAACGAATTTTTTTTATTTGATTAATAATAAAGTTGGTTTTTTAGGCAGTCTTCCTAATGGGAAATGCTACCCTGGTCACTTGACACAGTTGGACTTGAAAGAACCATCTAAACCACCTCAACCAAGAGAAATATTTTAACCTTTTTTTTTTACTGTATGCTTTGACTATCATCTCCTATTGAAATGATTCATAAATGAAAGAAACAAACAAGATTTTATTAATAATAATGAAGTTTATTTTTAGGCATGGGCTCCTCAAAAGGAAATGCTTGGTCACCTAACCTGATTGAACTTGAAAGAACCTCTCAATAAACAATTTGAACTAAAAAAAGAAATATGAAAACTATTTTTCAAGAAACCTTGCTTAACTAATGTGGTTGAGGTAGTAACAATTTAGGGAAATTATAAAAGGAAACCAAATACTAAAAATGAAAAATGCAAGTAAACTAAAGAGATCATATCTAAAGATAGGTACTGGTTTATTATAGGTTAATTTAATTACTTGTAAATACGACTTAATTGGAAATTTAAAAAAAAATTATTTTCAATAATGCTGTTTTTTGTAAAAAGGTTTAAATATATTTGGAACACTCTGGTGCCTGTTAAACTAGTTCCCTTCTTTATTGTTGATAATATTTAAGCCTATAAGATGGCTAGATCCATTACAATTTACGTAAATACTTCCGGACATGACGGCGAATTCGGTCATGACATAATGAGGCATGAGAATTCGACATTAAAATTTTTTCCACGACACTCCGCTGAATACGTAATGAAACATTCTTTTTACCTCTTCATTCAATAACTTCGGTAAACATGGATAATATTATCTATCTAAAACGTATTAGGCTTCTTAAAAATCATTCTTTGAATATTGATACGACTAATTTGGTTTAAAATTATTAATTGACCAAGGTTCTTCTATGTAGAGATGGAACATTTTTTTTTTTTTTATCAATCCGATTGATCCTTCATGAAAACGGAGTGTGAACCCCGTAAAGAATGAACTTTTTCAAGTAAATGACGAACAATTTGGCATTTGCAGGCGGACCCAGATCCGAGAGAGGAGGATCAATGAGTCAATAGCGGGCCCCACCCCTGCCGCCATGCGCAGGTCCAAGCTAACTCGATACTCTGCCCTACTACCACCACAATACAAACTTATTTTTTAAAAATTAATTTAAAAAAAAATATTGATAATTGGCAGGTTTCGCTAGTCTGATAAAAAAATAATTATTCACTAATCACTAATGATTTTATTAACAAATTTACAATTACGATTATACCCAATATAGGATGAGTCATATCCTTATAATCGAACAATTTTTGGTTAAATTAATAAATTTAGAGTAGTGATAGTAAATTTTTTTAAATAAAAAATTAAAAGAATAATTAAAATTAAATTAAAAACATATTACAGTTTTTTTTAGTAATTATTATTAACTAATTCATTCCTTTGTATTCTTCTGTTTAGATAGCCATTGAATTGTTCTTAATGAATAGATATAAACAAGTTTGAAATTATAACCCCTTATTGAACTTCCTCGACCAGACTTCAGGAACAAATATAAGTTGTTTTTTTTAACTTATTACATTGTTTTTCAACTATTCAATGAAGATTAATAAAAAATGGCAAATTCGTGTCATTTAAATTTTTCAAAAATAAGATAAAAGTATAATTTCATTAGCTTGAGGAGTTCTTTTTTAAATTTAGATTTATTTATTTTAAGTAGATATCCCCTCCACCATAACATATATAAAACAAATATTTTACCGCTTCAAAGTACAATAACCCATTTATAATTATTAAACTATTATATTTTGTCAATGAATCTTAATCTAATGTTTTAGAATTTTGAATATAGATATACCATAATGATGAAAAAGAAGTAGGCAGACAGACAGAAACAAGGATTCATTTTATTTCTTATACATATCCTCCCCATTACTGTATTGTTGGATTTTGAAAGACGATCCAATGACATAAATTACTTAAATAGACAGAAGCGGAGATATATAAATAAGTTTTAAAAATGAGAATGAACAATAATATAATTAATAATGTAAATTTGTGGATTGAAATGTATGTGGTTTTTGGTTAAAATGAATCCTGATAAATTCTATCATGTTAGATAAGAATTATAAATTTGATATTACAAATATGAAATTAGCAAAAATAAGGCACAATAAAAGGAATATAATCAAATATATTATAAATAGATGCCAGGTCTATGAACGGAACCCACTTTTAAGAAACAAGATTAATTTTATTATCTTGTTCTTCTGATCCTCTGCGTTAAGTTAAGCTCCTATACCAGGAAAAGAATTATTACCACTTCAGTGTACAAAGGCCGAAATGTATTATTCAAAATTTGGATTTTTATAATTTCGAAATTTTAATTATATTTTTTATAATATAATGAATGAGTAAAATAATGTACGTTTTTAATAAGGTCCCATTGTAATAAACAAATCCGGACCAAACCGTAAAATGGACTACAAGAGAAATTCCAGTCAAGTTCCTCTCCCACTAACCTTGGCTGGTTGATCGATGACTATCTCTTTCACATATTCCTGTTTCTGTCAGCTTGGGTTCGTTATCTTCCCATTGCAGCCATCAAGGGACGGCCCTGTATACCTGAGCACCACTAACCAGCCGAATTTTAACCATTCTGTTCCACAAAACTAACCACGAAAATTTACAGTTCCTCAAGATGATGGTAAAATAGAAAATAATATATATATTTTTTAGGCACGTGAAAATTAAAAAAAAAATTATGTGTCATGAACAGCATTTATTTCAGAAAGGAATTTAACAAATTAAGATAACAAGATGAATAATAAGGCCTTGGTTTATAACAAATAGTTTTGTACAAATTATCGCGTAAAAATTATGATAGAAATTTTCTAAAATCAGGAGAGCTACCATAAGGCTAATATTTTAAAAATATTAATTTAATAGCATATATGTATAAAAAGGGATTTTTACAAATCGAACTTTTTTTTTTTATCACAAAAAGTCTGCGTATCAGATAAAATTTCTATATAACTTTTACTAATTATTGAAGAAAGATGAAGTGAAGGTCGACTGAGGTAATAAATATTCAGGACGCAGATATCGCAGAAGAAAACTTATAAAGTTTTTATTGGTGCCGACGTTTTGACCCAAACATGTTGGTCATCATCAGGGCGTGTTTCGAGCACTGGGTATTCAAGTTAAGTCGCATAACAGCGTCCTGAATATTTATCACACATGATAGAACTTATACAATTTCTAATGATGTAGAGATAGTTGACCGTTGATATAATATGAGAGGGGAAAAGAAACGTCGGCAAAATTAAAATAAAATAATTACTATATTTTAATTTAGTATTTATCTGACCGCACCCCCGACTGACTCCTTCTCATTTTACAATTTCTGTATCAATAAATTATGTGA